TGTGTGTGTGTGTGTGTGTGTGTGTGTGTGTGTGTGTGTGTGTGTGTAGAAGAAGGGAGGAGGAGAATAGAGGAAAGAGATAACGTAATTATATGCATGATGTTGCAGTAAATTAAAAAAAATGATCTGAGGGGCGCCTGGGCGGCTCAGTCAGTTAAGCGTCCGACTCTTGATTTCGGCTCAGGTCATGATCTCACAGTTCATGAGCTGGAGCCCCATGTGGGGTGTGGAACCTGCTTGGGATTCTCTCTCCTTCTCCCTCCACCCCTCCCCCACTTGCATGCTCTCTCTGTCTCTCTCTAAAAAAATGATCTAGCACACAGTATGAATTTATTAGGCTTATCAAATTAATATGTGTGTACTAAAAAAGAGAAAAAAACATGTGTAACATTACAGGGATTAATTATATGTTTTTGACCTGCTATATAATGGTGCTTCATTTGCTTTGTTTGTTACCTAAGATTGCTAGATGTTATCTAGAAGTCTTGGCAATATTTTTTGTAAGAGCTGCAAAATTAGCATTGGCCACATCCACCCTCCTACAGGCTTCTTCAGCCACCATATTCTCCATTTACTCCCCTCTATACCTCTCCAGGGCAAGTAAATGTGCTTTTTGTTTTGTTTTGTTTTGTTTTGTTTTGTTTTTCAACGTTTTTATTTATTTTTGGGACAGAGAGAGACAGAGCATGAACGGGGGAGGGGCAGAGAGAGAGGGAGACACAGAATCGGAAACAGGCTCCAGGCTCTGAGCCATCAGCCCAGAGCCCGACGCAGGGCTCGAACTCCCGGACCGCGAGATCGTGACCTGGCTGAAGTCGGACGCTTAACCGACTGCGCCACCCAGGCACCCCTTGTTTTGTTTTTTAAACAGCCACAGAGCTACTGAGAGTGAGGGAGAAGGAATAGAGATTCTGATGATTTCACAACTAACCAGCCTACTGGATCAGCTCCTCATGGGATGGCTGCTGGTGTCTGGTTAGGGATCCAGGGGTCAACAAGATAGGGCATAGTGGGGAGCCTTCCCATCATTTTCCATTTTGGGAGTTTGGGGGTTAGGAGAAGTGACACCTAGGGTATCCATTTGGAGAAGGAAAAAGAAGAGGAGGAAGAAAGAGTTACCAAGTGTCAGGTAGTTTATTACAGCCCATTAGCAGATGAAGAAATTGGGCTCAGAGAAGCTTCCATCTGTCCAAAGTCACATGCCTAGGGTGAGAAGGAGCCGGGGTTTAAACCCAAGCCACGTGTCTCCAGTCCTATCATACTGCAACTGTTAGCTGTAGTTAGAAAGTTTTCCTTAGACAAGGCCAAAATGGAACCCAAGAGTTACATGGTGATGTCAGAAGCCTGTGCCCTCTCTTCACCTTCTCACAACTATGAGGGGAAGTCAGGGAGAAAGCTCGTTGAGGCTTGATCCACATTTGGGTGCAGGGGTAGGGAGGGGCAGAGCAGAGCTCAGGTCAGACTGTGAAATGGACAGAGTCTTCACTCTCCCCTCAGCTTCCCTGCCCTCCTCAGAGAGCCTCCTCTTCCTCTGACACCAAGGAGACCCCATCCAATGCCTGGGCTGTGACTGGGACTCCTCTCTCTACATTGTGCTTGGTTGCACCCGTCCCATTTAAGGTTCCTACTTCCCTTTTTTTTTGGTCTCAGTGTCATCATCTGTAGCAGCTGGGTGTTGTCCGGCAAGTGCTGTCTCTCAGGGTCTCTGGGCCTGGAGCCCATGGACTCCAGTTTCCCTGGATGATGCTGAGGCAGGTGGTCCTGCACACAGGAGAACTCCAGCAGAACTACTTGAAGAGTACTGTACTAGATGACGAAAGGGAAAGGGAAGGTGCTCTCTAAGTGTCAGCTGTATTAATGCCACCCACAAGGAATACTGTCCTGGAACGACTGGAGTAGCTAGCTTGGTGTGCCAGCTCTGGCTGTGGTGTGAGCGGCTATGAAAATGCAGCCCTCAATCTCTGGCCCCAGGGACCCTGATTGATTCACGGTCCCAGTTGCGGCCTTTCTGGATCTATCCTCATCTTTGTGCTGAGACTGACCCCAGCTAGTGACTGAGCAGGGTGGAGATGCTAATCAGGTTCATTACTGTAAGACAGGACTTCGTTAATAAGAAACTTCAGCTTGGGGCCCCAGGATGGTTCGGGTTGGTTAAGCGGTTAAGTGTCCGACTCTGGGTTTGGCTCAGGTCATGATCTTGCGGTTCAAGCCCCACCTCCGGCTTTGTGCTGACGTTGCAGAGCCTGCCTCGGGTTCTTCCCCTCTCCCTCTTTCTCTGTCCCTCCCTGCTCATGCTTTCTCTCAAAATAAATGAATAAACTTAAGAAAAAAAGTCCTTAAAAACAACAACAACAACAACAACAACTTCGGCTTGAACATTCCCCATTGCCCTTGCCAGAACATTCCAGGAACTGTGAGGCAGTCCAAGACTTTTCCTATGTCATCCATTTCCTTTCCCCTCTTCACAGGTGTCAAACTTGCATCATGGTCTAAAGACTGTCTCTGCCTTCTTCAGCTTCCCTTATTCCTCACAGGTGTTATCTCCGGTAAATCTCTTGCCCATCTAGCCCCATCTTGGTGTCTCTTCTCCGAGGAGCCAGACTACCACACCTGGCGTGGTTGGGGACACCAAAGCAGCCTTCAGTAATGCCCTATTTATCGCTCCTCTCCTTCCTGGTGGCAGCAGTGCTCGAGTAGTGGGATCATGTGCACCAGGGGAAGCAAGGGCTTCCCTCCAAAATCATTTTATCCTCATCTTGGGCAGACCTGGCACAGCCATGATGACACAGTGCCAAGGCTTCCTTGGGGACTGTTACTTTCTGGTGCACAGGTGTGGAGCATGGCCTCTGGGATTAGTTCGTCCCAACTCTACATGACCTTGTGCAAGTTACTTAGCCTCTCTGTGCTCTAAGGCTGTACACACCTCACAGAGCTATTGTCCAGAAAGTGTGATAGTGCCCTACTGGCAGGTTCCACCTCGTAGCGGTACGCTGCAGTTTAAGGAGTGCTGGGCAAGTACCTTGCCTTCCCCTTTCCCCTGACCTGCCCAGAACTAGCTCTCTGTGGTTTCTGCCACTCTTTTGGGTGAAGAGGCCATGTGGTGTGCTGGAAACGCCCTGGTTACAGGCCAGCACAGCCACGTCTAACAACAGGGTTGCGACGGGTCACTTTCTTTGTCTACTGTTCAGTTTCTTCATTCTTTATTTGTAAGAAGATGAACGTCTCTTTGAAAGGAAGGTACTGTCAGAGGCAAACTTCATATTTTCCACTCTTTCTGTTAAATATACACTAAACACATATTATTGGTCCAGTTCTATTCTAGGCCCTGGGGATTCAAAATGAAAGGAGAAGGTCTTTGCCCTCAAGTTGCTCAGAGTCTTCCTAGGGAGATAAACATGTCCACGATGATTCTGTGGGTTTTGTCATCACCTAGAGATAAAAGACTTCTGCCTGGGTTTTTACTAACATTTTATAATAGGAAGTGGGAGAGGGGCAGGAAATCATTTCCTGATGATGTTTGGCTCACAGAGGAAGGACAATGTGTTTCAATGTCCCCTGCCTAAAAAACGAAGTGTATTTATTTTCATTGGGAAGAAGAAACCAAAAAACTGTGGAGGTTAGACAAATAGGGAGAGTTTGTTTTTCTTCTAACAGGTCATGAGGCCAGTTAATAATCAGCGAGACTCAAGTGAGTGTTGGGTATCCAAAACTTTGAGAGACCGGCTTCTGTGATCTCTTTTGGCATTAGGGGTCGGCTTCACTCCAGCTCTGAGACCTCCAGCTCAGCAATGCCCCCAGGCCTAGGGGACAGAAGCTTCTGTTCGTGGGGACTCCTTTTGTGGCTCAGCATTGGAAGTGCAGGTAATTCGGGGGCTCGGGCCTTAGGTGGAATTTCTTTCAGTCAGTGCTTCTATTTCTTAAACCAACTATTTATATAGTGCTAACATTTGGAGGGTCCCCTAAAAGCCTTCTCTTCTCTTGAGATGAATTTAGAAGAGGGAGGGAAAAAAAACCTACAATCATAAAGGGACTGGTAACGACCAGGATACTTTCTCAAGTCCCCTAAAAGCTGCATTAATCCTTTCACCCGGCACAAGACTGTAAGAAAATAATATTGCATCAGTTCCAAAATATGACTTACATTCACCCTATAAATATCCACTGTACCAAGATATATTTAATTTTAAATTAAAAATTTCCAGACTAACCAAGATTTTGCCACTGAGAATGGTGGATGTCCTTGCTAATCCACTACCCAACATTTTTGATAGATGTGGGAAATGTTGCCTGCAAAGAAGTTACAACTATTTATTAATATGTGAGCATGGCTGGTTCCCCACCTCTCTGCCAATACTTCACAGTATCAAACATTTTTCATATTGTCAACCTGATGGAAAAAATAGTATTACATTGTTGTCTTAATTCTTATTTCTTATTATGATTTGTGCTTCCAGTGTCTTGTTTAAGCAATCATACTATAAAGGCAATTTTTCATATTTTCTTCTAAGCCCTAATGGCTAGCCCAATCAGACTAAGATCACTAGGGACAAATCCTTTAATCGTGGTGTATTTTTAAATATAATACTGAATTTTATTTTGCCAAAATTTATTTTTACTTTTGTATATATTTATATATTATTTTGATTATATGTCCATAGAAAATTTACCTATCATTTTCTTTTCTTGCATTACCCTTGTCCAGTTAATACTAAGATTATTATAACCTCATGAAATAAGTGTCTTTTCTATAAACAGTTTATATAAGATAAAGACTATTTGTACTTTGAAGCAGTGCAGTTCTCAGATAAAACCATCTAGCTCTAGTATACTTTAGAGTCAGAAAGACTCTTGATTACCAATTTAATGTTTTGATGCTAGTTTTATTTGGGCTTACTATTTCTTCTTGAGTCAGTTTCACTAAATTGGATTTTTCTAGAAAATTATCTATTTCTTCTAAGTTGTCCAATGCATTTGGGAATTTTAAAAAATATCTTTTTATCCTTGACATTCTGGTGTTATACTATAATGTGCCTAGTGTAGATTTATTTTTTTTATCTCGCTCATTACCCTGAGTACGAGTTTTGATTGGAGAAATCATATCTTTAGTTGTGGAAAATTCTAAATAATTATCTTTTCAAACTAGTGCTTCTTCTCCCATTCACTTCCCTTAGAGAACAGCTACGAGATAAAAATAGAATCTTTCCATCTATTGTCTGTGCTTTTTGACTATACTTCCATATTAAAATTTTCTTTTACTTCTGTCCTAAACATTACAGTATTGATTCCCTTTTTATTTCAATGGTTATCTTTTTCATTTCTAATTTCCTAACTAGGTTTTTTCTATAAATCTTATTTTATTATTTATTTGTGTTTTTATTTCATAATTTCATATGCTCTGTCTTTATTTTTATCCTTGTGGGTTCTCAGCATATTTATTTAAAAGTCTATGTCAAAGGCTTTTAAAAACTTATTTCACCTGGAATGAATTCATGATCCACTTATTGGCTTTATTGACTATCTTTGTAAACATTTGATTTCTGTATAAATTTAGATATTTTGTTTGCAGGCTTTTTTTTTTTTAAAGAAAACTCGCTATTGAAGTACAACATATATACAGACAAGCGCACAGATTATTAATACACAGATTAATGAATTTTCACAGTGAATTCACTCACCTGTGTAACCATCATCCAAATCAAGAAATAAAACATTACCAGGTTCTTAAAACCCATTCCACATATCCCCTCTTAATCACTACCACCCCAAAGATAACTATTATCTTGACTTCTAACACAATAGGTTAGTTTTATTTCAGTGTCAATGAGAAGTTTGTTTATGGCCTTCGCCACCTCTACCCCCCACCCCCAGTCCTTCCCATCTTTAGACTCTCTCCTCCATTTAGGGGGGGGAAGGGTGGTTGTCTCAGTTCTTCTTAGTGAGGCCTTGTCTTTCCATCCTGCCTTCCTAAATAAACCTATAGCCCCAGGTAAAAAGTCAATAGCTACTTTTTTGTTGTATTGCTTTTGTTTTTAGCTTCCTTTATGGAGTTGGAGAGCTTCGCCTGGTGCTGACCTTCCACAAAGCACTGACACAAAGCACTACTGGACCCCCCTTACCTCACAGAGCTGAATCCTCACAACCACTGTCTTCTCCCAGAACAGGAACCCAGCACCATATTGCAATTCTGTTCTTGTTCTTGCCCACAGAGATATAATCTTTATATTTGAGATCATCTATGTCTTTCTTCTCTTTTGATATTCATCTATGATTAGTCTTTGGTTGGACAGGTGGTTAGGGAGAGGGGATATCGGAGTATGACTCACTGTGCCACCTTCCATACTCTCGAATGATAGAAAGTTTTGTTATGTATCTGCAAATATTGTCAATTTTCTCTCCTCCTTTTCAAACTTTGTAACTTTGATTCCATTTTATTGTCTTGTTTCCCTGGCTTGGACTAGAACTTCCAGTACAATATTTCATAGAAGCACTGATAGCAGACATTCTCATTTGTTTCCAGTTCTAAATGGAATGCTTCTAATGTTTCGCCTATAAGTATGGTCATCAGATAGGCTCTTGGATAATGCTTTTTCTTAGGTTAAGAAGTGTTGGATATTAAATTTTATTGTGCTTCTTTCTTCTCCATCTATTGAGATGAGCATATGGGTTTTTCTCTTTAATTTTTCATATGTGAAGTACATTAATATATCTTCTAATGTTAAGCCATCTTTTCATATCTTGGATTAAACCCTGCTTGGCCATGATATATTTTTTATGCATATTATCTTTGATGGGCTTAGATTTGCTGGTAATTTATCCAGGGTCTTTATGTCTGTGTTTAATAGTGAAATTGGCCTTTTGTTTTCTTTTCTCCTTCTATCCTTGTCCAATTTGGATATCTTGGTTATTTTTGTAGAATGAATTTAGATTATCCCCCTTTTCTATTCTTTGGAACAGTGATAGGAATTGAAGGAATGATAGAATTTTTCTGGAAAACTGTCTGGCCTGGTAGAGGTTTTTTGATGAATAAATCAAAAACTACTGTTTCAATTCCCTCATGCTACTGTTTTACACTTGACTTTCTATTTTTTCTTTTTGACTAAGTTTCAGTAAGTTATATTTTCTAGGAAATTGTCTATTTTCTAGGCAAATACCTGTAATTTTAATTTTGGGTGGGTATAAACATGCTCTTTAATAGTTTTTTTTTTTTAAAGTCTACTATATATCCCTTTTTATTCTCTATATTGTTTACTTGTGACTTCCCTCTTTTTGTCTTACTCTGTCTTATCAATCAAAAGTACAACTAGTTTATTATTATTTTCAAAGAAGTAGCTTTTCATGTTTATTATGTGTGGCATACCCTGTTCTGGGCAGTAGAGTGAACAAAATGGATAAAAATCTCTGCCTTCTTTGAAAGTATATCCTAATACAGGGAAATCAGTAAGCAATAAATTTAATAATAAACTAGTAAATTCCATAGGAGATTAGAAGGTGATGATTGCTATAAAAGGAAATAGATTAAGATGACAAAAATTGAGAGAACAGGGGTGAGGAGCACAGGCAGGTGGCAATTTAAAGTAGTTACACTTGACAAGCAAAGCCTCGGAAGAGAAGAGGGTGTTAGCCATGTGGATGTCTGTGGAAAAGACACTCCAGGCAGAAGGGATGGCTGGTGCAAAGACCCTCAGGTGGTCTAGGCCTGTGTAGAGTGAAGAAGAGTTGGGAAGACACGTGGCCAGAATGGAGGAAGGAATAGTCAGACAGGCAAAGCTTTCCCGGAGCTCATGGTTTAGACCATTTGGGGCTTTAGTCCAATGTTAGGACTTCAGGTTTCATTCTGAGGGAAATGCCCTCTTTTGCACAGAGGTGTGACATTATTTGACTTATTTTTTGGCTTGCAGTTGACCTTCTACTTCATGTGTCTTCACATTGTCTTTCCTCTGTGTCTGTGTCCAAATTTATTCTTATAAGGACACCAGCCATATGGGATTAGGACCCACCCTATTGGCTTCATTTTAGCATAAATACCTCTATTTATTTAACATAAAAACTCTATCTCCAAATACAGTCACATTCTGAGGTCCTGGGAGTTAGGACTTCAACATATGGATTTATGGTTGGGGGGGGGGGTTACTCAATTTACCTCATGACAATATCCACTTCACCATGGCTTTTAATCTTCTCTAGTTGAGTAATATTCATATCCTTTTCTGGCAATGTATCTTTAGACATGGAAACTATTCACAGATTTTGGTTATAGAAGTGATGTCTTTAATAAATGAGTCTGAATATTGTACTAGCTGATTTATAATAAATGCTGGTAAGCCCCTGTTTGTCTCTTCCTCTCAAGAACAATTGTCTTCCTTCTAAGAATAGATGACCTCACCTTGAATCTTTCTTGTTTTTCTTTTTGTTTTTTCCTCCAGGAGACGCACCTCCTATCCCACAGACAAAGTGCACTGACTTCCAGAATGCTAATCTTCTCCAAGGCACCAATCTCAAAGTCCAGTTTCTCCTCTTCACCCCTTTGGATCCTAGCTGTGGTCAGCTAGTGCAGGAAAGTAGTGACATCCAAAAGTCTGGGTTCAATGCCTCTCTGGGAACTAAACTAATCATCCATGGATTCAGGTGGGAGTAATCAACCAATAGGATCATCTTCACTAAGAACTAGAGAGTGACCATAAGGCCACAGGAAGTTAATGGGGACCAAGGGGAGAGATGGATTTACTGACAGTCACATGTTTTATCTCTCACCTCCTGCTGTCTTTGAAGGTTTCTCATATCAACATGAATACACATTATGTTGTTTATTCCTGTTGGTCATGTATATTAGTCCTCTGCTTGGTCTTATCTACATGCTCTCAAACAGTAAATATGTATGACCCCGGACAAGTTGTCCCAGCACACGAAGCCTTGGTTTCCACATCTGAATAAAAGGGAAGTTGTAGAAATGGTCCCAGTTGATCTTTCCTTCCTGAAGCATGGGGTATGTGACTCATCTCAGCCAGTGAGGTCATGGGCTGTGTGTAATCAGAGTAAGGGCATGGTGTTTTTATCCAGGGTTTTATTTCCTCTTCTTTATTTCTTCTCTGGCTTCATGATTTAAGAAACTTCCACTCACGGGTGCTACTTCCATTATCTCCTGAGACTAACCTTTCTCAGGTTTGATTTCTTTGATGCCCTATCGTCCAAATTTTGTTATAATATGTAGTCACTGAGTCTCAATTCGACCACTATCCTTCCTTCCAACGTCTTCTCTCCAGAGCCCACTGACAAGGCCTAAAACAGAAGAAGGTTGGTGGGAGGAAAGAGGGAGAAAATGCAGTGAAAATAGTAGCAGTATAGAGCAACTAGAGATGGGAGTGTCCAATGAAGAGGTGGATGCAAAGGCACTGCACAAAGGATCACCATTTCATGGCCTCTGGGTTCTCTCTGCTTCTCAAATCCCTGGACCCTGAGCACCCGGCTCTATACCTCCTTAGGTATATACTTCCTTACTCTTATGCCAAAGTCTCTTCTCCAGAAAATCTTCTATTTAGCCACTATCTAAGGCTGTATGTGTATCCCCAACCAAGAGATAGCTAACAGAGCTGGAGAGCTCAGCAGCTGTCACTCTGTCTGCTCCTAGATCCCCTGAAATCCACTTTCTATGGCACACACCCAATTTGTGCTCCTCTGCCTACGTGAGTATGCTCTTACCATTCCTTCACTGTGGGCCACTGAGAAAACTTCTCCAGATCCTAAACTCTTGGTAAAGGTCTATGAAATTTTTTCTATCATTCTCCTTTTCCTAGAAAAGCGCTTTTATACTATGAGTTCCAGAAGAATAGAGACTGTATCTTATTTTTCTTTATTTCTCACAAAGCACCTGGAATACTGACCCATTGAATTAATGAAAGTATGATCAAAAGAACAAGTACATAAAAACATTCTTCAAGGGAAGTGCATATTTTTAAAATATATTTTTAATGTTTATTTTTGAAAGAGGGAGAGAGACAGAGTGTGAGCAGGGGAGAGGCAGAGAGAGAGGGAGACACAGAATCTGAAGCAGGCTCCAGGCTCTGAGCTGTCAGCACAGAGCCTGACACCGGGCTTGAACTCATGAACTATGAGGTCATGACCTGAGCCGAGGTCAGACGCTTAACCAACTGAGCCACCCAGGCGTCCCAAGGGAATTGCATATATTATAGAATGAGAATTAAGATTGCAAATCTTAACTCTAATGTACAAAGCTATCTTCTTTTTTTCTATAAATAACACAAGCAATGTCAGTACATATGGTTTGTGTGGTATCCATTGCCCAAAGGTACCTGACTGAGGGCTGGTGGGGCTGGAATTCAACCTGAGTTCTGAGCCCAGGCATGAGGCTGCATCTACCTAAAACAAAAGGCACTCTTTTATCATTTACACAAAGGCTCCATATATGCAGGCAGAAGCCCTGGTGACTATAGGATTATGTCCTCCCTATGCTGAAAGTGGTAGAGGGTTTATTGCCCATATATCACCCTGATTCATTTTGATCGCCCCCCCCCCCGCCCCCGGGTTTATTCTGTTAATAGAGAATGTCACTGTAATTCCCATGACAATGGATATTGGCTTGGCAGATAATTTTCCCATCCTTTTTTGGCCCCATGTCTAGGGCTTTAGGTACAAAGCCTTCTTGGATTGATAAATTCATCGGTGCCCTTCTTCAAGCAGCAAATGCTAATGTGATTGCTGTGGACTGGGTTTATGGCTCTACGGGTATCTACTTCTCAGCCGTGCAGAATGTGGTTAAGCTGGGCCTAGAGATCTCCCGTTTCCTCAAGAAACTACTGGTAGGTACACAAGAGCTTTGGGGGAGTTTTGCCTGCTTATTAGGGGAGAGGAAACAGAAAGAATCAACATATGAGGAGGAGCTTTAGGGCGGAAGCAGAGCTAACTAGTGGCTTGTGGGTCTTCGATTCTAATCTCAACTTTACCACTTACAGTGCTGACTCTGGGCAAGTAGTTGGCCCTCTCTGAGCCTCCCGCTCCTCCTCTGTAAAATGTGCCACTGCGTGTTAGATAGGGAGTCACTCGAGAGGGAGTGGCCATGGGCATTAGTCACACACGTTGAGCACCAAAAAGAAAGTGAGGCAATCATCAAGGTGGGGTTTCTAGGAAGAAGTTGAGTGGTGAATGGAATGAAAATTTGCCTTTTTCCCCCAAAGTGTGTGTGGTGGGTACGTCATGCCCGGGGTCCTCGGATTCTGAAGCTTCAAGGAAAAGTGTGACGCTGTGAGGCCCAGGTTGCCATGGCCCAAATGCAACTCACTTGTAAATGCCCCATTCTAGGTATTGGGTGTGTCGAAGTCCTCAATCCACATCATTGGTGTTAGCCTGGGAGCCCACGTTGGGGGCGTGGTGGGATATTTCTACGAAGGCCAGTTAGGACGGATCACAGGTAACATTATTCTCTGCCCATCACCCCAAGTTTGGAGATAAAGAGAGAATGCCCTTGAAATCCCTCTTTTGAGGCAAGCAGAAGGATCTTTGTTCTTATGACCAAGTCATTTATTTCCACTAAACTTTACTTATTGTGGCCATTTACATAAAACAGTACTGTGTTGTTATTGTGTGATCTCTAATGTCAGTATAAGAGGCCATGTATTTCTTTCTGAGCCTCAGTTACTACTTCTGCGAAATGAGGTATAATAGGTCATATCTCCTTGGCCCACTGTGGAAATCACCTTTAGTCCATTATGCTAAATACTTGCAAAACACTAGGGATTTTATGCTTTAGAAGCTACCCTCAATCAATAAAAGACCAGAGTTATGTGGTAAATACTCTGCTTTCTGGCTCTTCTGTGGGACAACTTGTCCCACAGTCATGAGTCATGTTCTACAGAGCCTCTCAGAAGGGTCCCAGTGGAATGAGACCAAGTTGCCCAAAGTGATAATCCATTCAATACTTTTTTTCCCCCATGCTCTGATTCATTTTTTCCACTCCTTCATTATGCTTTCTGTGATCTACTCCCAAAAAGCTACTTATGCTTTAAATCCTTGTCTCAGGGTTTGCTTTGGGGGAGGAAGAGGAAAACAGACCCAAACTAACACCTGGGGACAGTAATTTTTACTTGTGAAGACTAGCACAAGGCCTTGAACATAGTAACTGCTCAAAAAATTATAGCTGTAGTTATGAGTACATGAGGATTAATATTACTCACATTAGCCCTTACCAACTGGCTCACTTCAGAGCCAGAGAAGCTGCGTCATTGAGAGTTAGAGACACAGCATGCGTTTTCCTGGGTACAATGGCCCTGAGCTGGTCCTCTTGCCCTTGGATCCTTGCTGGGGGACTCTAGGATCTGACCAGGAAGGACTGCCTGGAGAGGTGTGTGATGGGTCCATGAGGGTTCTGGAAGCTGAGATGAAAGGGGCCCCTGACATTAGTCTGTCCCAGCAGGCCTGGACCCCGCTGGACCAGAGTACACCAGAGCCAGCCTGGAGGAGCGCCTGGACCCTGGAGATGCCCTCTTTGTGGAGGCCATCCACACAGACACTGACAGTGAGTGGGGGTGACCCTCCTGGGATGGGGGGGGGGATGAGCATGGCAGGGGCTAGGAGGCTGGCATCTACCTGTGTAGCTCTGGGCAGATTCCCTCCCTTCTGAGCTTCTGTTGCAGTGAGGAGTTTACCAGCATCATCTTGATCTCTGGTTAACACTAAATCTTGTGACAAGGCTGGGTGGGGGAGGACACTGCTGCCTGGCTGGCATAGGGGAAAGTCATACTACTTTTTTTCAGGGTGAATGTGCCTGGCCCCATGGGATTGGGACATTCCACTTCTGGGGCAGATACTCAGGCCTGTCGGGACTTCCTCCTCCCCAGGGAGGAGCCAGACCTTCAGTCCAGTGAAAAATGAGAAATCATCCCCCCGCCCCCCAACTCTGAATCCATTGTGACCAAATTAAGCTATTCTGACTAGCTGGAAAAGGGGATGGGCATTCCTCCTCATTTCTAGTTTGATATGAAATGCCCAGGAGTTAGCCAGACCCTGTGCTCAGGATGGTGGGTACGAGATCAATTCATGCCTATCCCTCACCAGAAGAGTCTGCTATTCAAGTGAGAGGTGTCCATGTCTCATTCCCTTTGTTCAGAAGCCTTCTTCTTAGCACCCAACACTCACAGACTCATAATTCTGGAAGAAACCCATGCAGTCATGTAATTCAACCCTCTTTCCCACCTTTGTCATCTCACATTTAGGAAAGCAAAGACCACAGGCTTCTGCCTAGCTGTTGGGTTAACCGTATTAATTATCAAGGTCAACTACTTCTGTTTCTAAGTTTGCTAAATAGGTGACTTGTTAGGTCCCTATTTATCAGAGGGCGGCCTCTCAGTCTCCTTCAAAGTTGGAGCCTCTTCCTAATGTGACCAGAGGAAAAAAAATCATTCCATTTGTTTAACTGATTTTCATTGAATTATGTAGTTAGCACCAAGAATGCAACACACAAGGCATTGAAGAAGGTCCCTGCCCACATGGAAATACAGACTAATTGAGAGGGCATTCATTCATTACTTCCTTCAATAAACATTAGGTACTCACATGTGACAGGTACAGTGCTGGTATTAGGGATATAGCAGAAAAAAGGCCAAGTCCCTGCTATAAGTTGTAGAGCTTCCAGGCAAGTAAACAGACATTATTACACACTATGAGTATGGTAATGGAGGATGTGGGGCAGAGGGTGACTTGTGGGGTGGGGAGGCGGATTACTTCAGCAAGGATTATTGAGGAAAGTCTGTCCCAGGAGGTGAGATTTGCGGATGAGAACGAGCAAGTCCTGGGAAAAGCTGGGAGAACATTCAAGTTGGAGAGAATAGCCAAACGAAAGCCTGGACATGGGTGTGGGACAGGAAAGAAAACCATGTGATTAGAGGGCAGGGAGTGAGGCTAGAGAAGAGGGAGGAGGACCAGGCTGGCCATGGTGAGGAGTTTACATTTTAATCTACAGGCAGTGAGAACAGGGAGGCGATTAGGATTTCTTGTAAAGATTATTGTGGATGCTGTGCACAGAATAAGTTGCAGGGGACACTAAGGGGAGCCTGGAGGCTCATTAGAAGGTGTTTACAGTAGAGGCCAAGAGATGGTGGTGGCTTGTGCAGAGGTGGGGGCAGTAGAGACAGAGAGAAATATAAAGACTCAAGGGGCACCTGGGTGGCTCAATCGGTTAAGCATCCGATCTCGGCCCACGTCATGATTTCACAGTTTGTGAGTTCAAGCCCCACATTGGGCTCTCTGCTGTCATCCCAGAGCCCCCTTTGGATCTTCTGTCCCCCTCTCTCTCTGCCCCTCACTCTCTCTCACTCTTTGTCTCTCTCAAAAATAAATAAACATAAAAAAGTCTTTTAAAAAACTGAAAAAAGAAAGATTTGAGAGGTATTTTGGAGGTAGAGTTGACTAGACAAGTGATGGGCTAAGTGTAGGGAGTGACAGAAAGAGAGGAAGCAAGGATAACTTCCAGGTCATTGCTTAACCCCTAGATAGATGCCACTAAACAAATAACAACCAACCGATCACTTACAGTAGTGATAGATGTGGGAAGGGAAAAGATGTTTTGAAGGGGAAAACCGGGGTCTTTGGCAGCTGGCACTGACCCCATCTGAGGAGTCAGCTGTGGTCACAATGATGAGATGAGGGCTAAAGTGTTTCAAATTAGCCAGATCTTATTTCTGCTCAGTCAGATAAGCACAAAAATATGAGGGAGACTGTGGAAATGTGGCCCCACACATACATATGTGAACTCTTGCTCAAAACCAAGTAAACCGTGTTTGACAAGGAAATTCACCAAGCTTGTAATATTTAGTGATTTATAAAAACTTATGTGAAGGGAGGGGCGCCTGGGTGGCTCAGTCAGTTGAGCGTCTGACTTTGGCTCAGGTCATGATCTCGCGGTCCGTGAGTTCGAGCCCCGTGTCGGGCTCTGTGCTGACAGCTCAGAGCCTGGAGCCTGTTTCAGATTCTATGTCTCCCTCTCTCTCTGACCCTCCCCCGTTCACGTTCTGTCTCTCTCTGTCTCAAAAATAAATAAACATTAAAAAAAAATTTATAAAAACTTATGTTAAGGGATATTTTTCTCGAATTTATTAGACAAATATGAGTATCTTATGGCTTTATTCTTCTTTGCTTCCTTCCAGTGTATAAAAACACCTTTAGAAAACTGATGGCAGGTTCTTCAGTTCACAGCACTTAGGAGTGAGGTGGGCACCCAAGGGGCACACAGAGTGGATGCGCTCCCAAAGGCAGAGCTCAGGCTCTGCTGCCAGTGGACCCTGCTGTGGGGCCTGGAAAATAAGCCCCTGCAATCAGAAGTAATGAGATTCTTCCTCTTCCAGATGCGGGTATTCGGATTCCTGTTGGACACGTGGACTACTTCGTCAATGGAGGCCAAGACCAACCTGGCTGTCCCACCTTCATTCATGCAGGTCAGAAAGCCAGAGAGAGTTGGGGTTTGGCTGCCCCAGAGGCTGGAATTCACCAGTAGCCTTTATGTTGAGTCAGCCAGCGTGGAACACAGGGGGGTCTTCCTTCTCATGTCCTTTGTTATGCCCCATAATGCCTTTCCCAGCACTTATTGAATGGATGTCTTTGGAGCCCAGGAATTCCGGGGGAGGAGTGCCTGAAATTAAAAGCGTACACCATACTTCTCCTGGCCTACCCACTTTTTAAGCCCTGCAGTGATATATCATCACTCAAGCCAATATACCCTATTTTTCCTGGGCCCTGATTTGTGGCATGTCCACACTAGCTGCATCCTCTGCAGAGCTTAGTTGTGGTAGAAGGAGAACGACACGCCCAAAGCTGGCTAGCTGAAGGTTCAATTCACTGATGACTTACTAAATTTGACAGTTCCCCAAAATTGTTTTTAAGATAATCTTGAGTGCATTCAATAAATATACATTTCTTGGGTGCCCAGGTGGCTCAGTTAGTTAAGCATCTGACTCTTGTTTTCGATTTGGGTCACGATCTCACAGTTTGTGAGTTCAGGCCCTGTGTCGGGCTCTGCGTTGGCAGTGCAGAGCCTGCTTGGGATTCTCTCTCTCCCTCTCTCTGTCCTCCCTTGCCCTCTCTTCCTCTCAAAATAAATGAACTTAATAAAAAAATGTACAGTTTCTTTTCTAAATACACAATTGATGCTTGCACAATGTGAATTTGAACTGTACGAGTCCACTTATACATGGATTTTTTGATACAGTACAGTACTGTAAATGTGTTTTCTCTTCCTTGTGATTTTTTTCAACATTTTCTTTTCTCTAGCTTACTTTACTGTAAGAATACAGTATTACACTTACACCAAATATGTGTTAATCAACTGTTCATGTTATTAGTTCATGTTATTGTTCTGGTCAACAATAGGCTATTAATAATTAAGTTCAAGGGTCAATGTATTCTTCTAGAATGTTCTTTTTTTTTAATTTTTTTTTTACATTTATTTATCTTTTGAGAGACATAGACAGAGCACAAGTTGGGGAGGGGCAGAGAGAGAAGGAGACACAGAATCCAAAGCTGGCTCCAGGCTCTGAGCTGTCAGCACAGAGCCCGACATGGGGCTCGAACTCACAAACTGTGAGATCATGACCTGAGCCAAAGTCAGACGTTTAACCGACTGAGCCACCCAGGCGCCCCTAGAATGTTCTTTTGAATTCATTCTTCTTAGCATTATTTTAAATAATATTAAATTTGTCAAAAGCTAAGGACCAAGGGTTGTTTAATCTTCTCACATTCTTCTTATGAACATAGCCAACCTATCAGCATTTCTTACAGGAATTTTATCCTGATTTCTGATTACTATGTTTTTAGTCTTTTCTTGCCTTACCAAATTTTTGACACTTTAAGGATTCTTTTGACAATTTTATTGAATGATCCCTAATCTAATTTACTAAATTCATTGATTATCCAAAAACATGTTTCCTTTCACAATTTGTAGATTTTCCAACTTTTTTTTTTTTTTTACCAGATGGGATAGTTTGGTTTTAATGGCTTTTGAATATTTCTGTGACATTTCAGCGGCCACTTTTTATTTTTCTTCATAACACAATTTGAAAAGGGTTTAGTTTGTATCCCCCACCTCCCTGTTGCAGCTGGAAGGAGCTTGCCCATAGAGAGTGTGCCAGCCATGGGAAAAAGAGAGTTGACACACAGCTCAGATGTGGTTACTGGTCCCAGAGTGGGGGTCCCAAGGTGAAGGGGGACTCTGAAGACCTCAGAACACTAGAGCTGACTCCCTTGATTGTCTCATTGCTGGGATGAGTATCATGAGGTTATAAAAAATTTTGTTGGGTGTTGATGAAGAAAGTAAAATGTGTAGACAGATATTCATTGTGAGAAGTGGGTAAAGATCACCAATTGTCTGAAAGCTCCCATTTTCTGAAAGAGAGTTTGATGATCATGGAAGAATGGGTCTCAAATTAAACAATTTTTTGATAGATTAAGCTTAGGCATCTCTGGAAAAGGAAAAGGAAGAAAGCAGTAGCCATGTCCATTAACATTAAAAAATGTGGCTCAAGAGACATCCCATGTTATTTGTAGCCTGCTGGAATATAAAATTCAATAGAGTTATAATAAGTAGCATGGAGGGATTTTCATTTGTCTTAAACTAAAACCTTGGTTGTGTTTTTTACCGTTAAGGTTACAGTTACCTGATCTGTGATCACATGAGGGCCGTGTACCTCTACATCAGTGCCCTGGAGAATTCCTGTCCATTGATGGCCTTTCCCTGTGCCAACTACAAGGCCTTTCTTGCTGGAAAATGTCTGGATTGTTTTAACCCCTTTCTGCTTTCCTGCCCAAGGATTGGTAAATGCCACCCCTTTGACTTCCTTTGACAATTTGGGGAAAGTTCAAGTCTTGCTAGTTGTCACCTCTTTAAGTCCTGCTCTTCTGTGGTCAATAAGTCTATCCAACTACAGTAAGGAAATTCACCAATGAAATGTTCAGCCTGTTCCCACCTGGAGGATATCATTTGGCCTTCCACATCCCACCTCTTGCCACCCATGCTGTTGCCTGATACTCTACTTGCTCTGCACACACCCTTCACACACAGCCCCTTGTCTGCAAGTCCAGGCAAAGGACACTTTATAAACATTGGTAGAATTCAGAACTGCTGCCCCCACTCCCAGACCAGATGCTTGCCATAGGTCTTTCTAGCTAGGCCAGCCATTCTCCAATTCCTGATAGATTCTAAATCAAGGTGTTGTGGGGAATCCCCATGAGTGGCACATATGGCCCCCTTTAGGGGTTTGAGGCTGTGGTGACCATGTGCCAGCTGGAGGACTGCCTAATTGCTGGCTGGCTTGGGCACATTGCTGGATGACCCAGGCTAGTCTGGGGAGAGGGGCTGGGGAAAGGCTGAGGGATCTGACCTCAATTCACCCTGTGCAGGTCATTGCTGAGAACATACTAGGGTTCTCCAAGATGAAGCGTTTCAGAAAGAACTCTGGGGGAGTATAAATGGTTCCTTTCTCGCCCTCATTCTCCCACTTCCCACCCCTAGCTGCTACTCAGAACCGCAGCTTGACAAAATGTTAAAGTAGATGTAGCTTCCCACAATAAAGCAAATCAACATTACTTCCTACTCATTGTGCATATGCCACAATTTCCCCCAAATGTGATGGACCAGCCACCTCACACTTTCCCCAGCCTCAGCTCTCACTACACTTTCCCTGGCACTGAACACCCCAGGGATGTTCATGTTTCATGTTTCCTCACCCTGTATGCCCTTGTCCAAACTGTACTCCCTGCTTGTTATGCCCTTCCTTAACTTGTCAACCACTATTCTTCAGGTCAAACGCTTTCCGTGCTTTGTCTGTGAAGGATATAAATGCCATTAAAACAACTGTCTAATAGATTATTTTACAAATTGGAGATCTAATTTCAAATTTCTGATACATACCTCCTGAGAATGGGCCAGATGATCTTAAAAAATGTGCTTCCTGTGTATTTGCGTGTTTATCTTTGACTGGACTGAACTGTATGTATCCTGGGACCCACCTTAGGGCATGACATATAATGAGCATACAGTGTAGTTGTTTGTAGAATGAATGGCTGTGCGAATTAATCAATATGTGGTTGCGTGCCATGGGACACTGAAATGGCCTCCTCAGGGGTCTTGTTTTTTGTCTTTGCCTCTGTATTTCCAGGGCTGATGGAACAAAGTGGTGTTAAGATACAGCCGCTTCCCAAGGAAGTGAAAGTGTACCTCCGGACCACTTCCATGGCTCCGTACTGTGGTGAGTGGGGGGTTTGTGTGTAGCTCAGGTATGCTACTGTGCTGTTCTGCAGATTCCAGGGCTCTGGCGTGGGCTGTGTCTAGCATGGCATGGGAGCTCAGGCGTGAGGTGAAGGACAGGGGCAAAGATGTCATAGGAGGGGTGAGGGGCAGCAGCTACTGGTCTTAGACCCTAAACTTTCAGAGCTAGTCCAACCCATGCTCTACTGCAGATTATCAGGTATCTTGCTGTGTATATACTTATCCTAGTTCCTCCCCACCTCGCTTCAGTGTGGGTTCTCTATAATGTGGTTTTTGGGAGCACCCTCTGGCTTCATCCTTCCCACATACTTTTTTTCACCCCCTCCTCGATGCCCATCTTATGTGTCTCCTACCCTGGCAGCCCTGTCAGGTCAGGGTCTCTAAGGAATGTTGAACCTTGCTCTCTACTCTACTTCCCCTACATACACATACTCCAACTATTTACTGTTGCTCCTAACCACTATGCTTCACTGAAGCTAAGATACCAGTAAAAGATGTTAAATGTGAGAGAAAAATGTGTCTTAAATTCTATGAAATATTACAGGTTGAAGCATCATTTTCTCCTATGCTGTTTGCGTCTTAAGTAGAGTGATTATACTTCTTTAGTGCTTGTTATCATAGGATCTTGTCTGGTTTATTGTGTGTATAGGATAAAAGTATGCTGGTTAGGATGATAAATTGTACATCCAAATTAACTCTGATATTCTGATCAGCTTGTGTCTGGTTGGTGGAGGGATCTTTCTTTATGGCCATTCCTTCCTTGGACCAGAACTCCTGTTGCCATGTGATATGGAGCCCAAAGTTCAGATTGTGGTCATGCAGACTTGGATTTGAATGTCAGCTTCTCCACCTACCAGATGTGTCATTGGAAGCAAGTTACTTAACCTGGCTGAACTCTCCATCCTTATGTAGAAAATGGGAACAACAACAGTATCTACTTTAAAGAATCAATTGTGAGGGTAAAATAAAATAGTATACAGGAAGTTGCTAGCACAGTGACTGGAGCTTGATAAGCGATAATTCCCTTCCTTTTATCATTCAGAGAACTGGGGGAGACTAGATGCGGGTGTTTATCATTCTAGAGAGAATTCATGGCTACCTCTTAGGAACAAGTGGATTATAAGAGTCGACTGTGGGCTTCTCACATATATCTGCTCATTTGACAACCCCGCTCTAGTTAGCTGTGAGGACGGGGAGGTTCTGAGAGATTAAGCCTTGTGCCCAAGGCTACACAGTGGTGTGGAAAAGGCAGAATTCAGCTCAGGTCTTCTGACTCCAAAATCTATATTCTTTCCATGTCACCACCTGCCTCCACACTGGCTTCTTTGCCTCTGCTTCTGAGAATCTGCTCTTTACAACCGTATTTCTTGGATCCTCTTCTGTCCTCACCGCCCCCTCCAGAGGTCAGCCTGGGGGAGGATGCTTTGTCCAGTGGTGGAGGCAGCGATGCCAGGACCAGATGTCCAGTTTTACTTCCAGTTCTGGGACAGCTTCACAGCAACCTGAACTGCTCCTTCCTGTCTGCGCAGCTGGGGACACACATGGCAGGGAGCCTGGGGCACACTTGAGGCTAGAGGCATTTCAAAGTCCCTGCTGAGGCAGACTCACATACCTATAATTTTTCTGATTGTTTCGTATTTGTTGTGAGACTCCCTCTCCATGCCCCAAGAAGCATGGCCCTGTCTGTTCAAAAACCTCACAGAGCTACAGAAAGAAATAAGCCAGCCTGAGTACCTGCTTTTCTGCATGCTCTGCGCCTTGCAATTCTGAGCTTTTTGTTCTGAGCACTGAAGCTGGGACTCTCCTCTACCTGGAGGGATAGGCCATCCACTTGGTAGTTTGGGTAGTACCAACGGCCTGCAGCTCCTGCTCTCACCCACTCCCAGGCCCCACGCACTGGGTGCCCATCGCCCCACTCGGCCTGCCTGGGTCTCAGCAGTGTTCAACAGGACAGTGGTCACCCCTGACCCCTGCCAGACATGCACCAGCAGGGCAGAGAACCTTCTCCAAATAGTTTTTCTATTGTTTTCAACACTATTGTTGAAAACAAATAGTGTTTCTATTGTTTCTAGATAGTTTTTCTAACAGTATTACTTTTCCCTTTATAGAACAGTGTTTCACACAAAGTGCTTTCTCTCCATTACCTCATTTAATCCTTGCCAATGTTCTGTGAGGTGATATCGAGGGTTGTAGATGAAGGAGCCAAGACACAGAGAGGTTCAGTGACTTAGGGAAAGGAAACAGCGAGTAAGCAGCGGGGCCAGGCCTTGGATCCAGATCTCCTGATCAACCATCCAGGACTCTGTCTGCTGCCTCCCATGTCTGACTCCTGCACCGGAGATTGGATTCTGCTACTGATTCCCACCCATCCAGTGTTAGTAGACCTGACCCTCTTGGGGCTTCCAGATAATATAAAGAGAGAACCAGAACTTTAGGAAACTTTCTTAATGGGTGAGATCTGCTGGCAAAGGAAGAAGTGGTATAATATGTAAAAGTAAGCCCTGAGAATTCAATTCCTAAAGCTTATGTAATTTAGCTTTTTTTCCAGATTTCAGTTACCCACTACAATTTAGCTCTTGCCCATTATCTTAACAGTCTGCATCCTCTAGCAAACAACTGAGAAAGAGACAGAAGGGGCATGGCATTGGATGTGTTCCTCTGTCGAGAGGAAGCATACGGTGCTCTCTTTTCTTCCATGTGGGTTCTTGGCATCTTAGCACCTGTCAGTGAGTCTTGTTACCAACTCCATTAGCCCAGATGGATCATAGCACTCCTCCAGCTTAGTGGTGAGTCTACCAAAATCCACTTGATGTCCCCCCAATATTTGCCTTTAAAACATGACAAATGAAAAAGTACAAGTAGGGCAGAAGTGAAGAATTGCCTGTCCAGCTATGTCCCGATCACCAAAGAAGTCTGTGGAAATGCCCCAAGACTAAAGATACTGCAAAATGCCACCAGATGGGTCTCCCCCTTAATAAGGAAAGGATAGGAGGTTAGGGAAGCTTTAATTCTTAACTTCTCTTGCCAGAGAGACAGCAGGGGCATCACCATGAGCCAGGCTCCTCATCTGGTTTTTGTCAATGACGCAAGTTTGAGAGCCCCAGGATCGATGCTGCCTGGGAGGGTGGAGATGCCATACAGGCACCCAGCTGCCACAGAGAGGGAAATAGTCATCTCCTACACACAAGTGGGCTCCCTGACACTGTGCATATGGAGGGTTATTTTAGGAGTTAATTATTTAGTATAAGAAAGATCCTTTTCAGTTCTTTTAAAATCACACCACCGAGATAATGTCATCAAGCAGGGAGGAGTGGGACATTCTAGCATTATAGGTAATAATAAAAACTAACATGTATTGAATGCTTCCTAGGCACAGACACTGTCTAAGGACTTTTGTATTAACTCATTTAACTCTCATTCAGACCCATTTTTATTATCCCCAATTTACAATGAGGAAGCTAAGGATCTGGGATGACAGATAATCTGCTGCTAGTCACACAGCTGTTAAGAGGTAGATCTCAGATCCCTGCACTGCTGCTCTCCGGGGCTTTTTGCATGTTGCACCCACTGACCTCTGGCCCAGGCATCTGCTCTGCTTTGGTTTCCCAGTGCATCACAGCCTCGTGGAGTTTTACTTGCAGGAGCCAAGAAAGAAGGATACCTGTATCTCCATCACCTTCCTTAGCAGCAATGTTACTTCCTCGGTCGAGATCACCATGTACGTAAGTGTCCCGCGTTACATGCACACATCTCCCACAACAGGCCCTGTGCGATCACTGATGGGTGACCCGAGCCCGCTGGGCTGGAGGTGGGGGTGAGGGCAGCACCTACTACAGATGCACCCCACAGACACATGGTGGGCAACTGTCCCAGGTTCAGGATCAGTACTGGGTCCAAGGATAGTGTATTCAGACAACAGCAGCTGAAGCAGGCAGACAGCAGTCATGGGATGTCTCAAAAAGTGGTGAGAACAAAGTAATTGGGTCCCTGATAGGAAACAGTAGTCAGGACTCCAGGAAGGCCACGTCAGGGATGTCAGCAAGTAGGAGGACCTCAGCCACTAGCCCAGGGAGGGCTGGCCAGAGACTGCAAAGCATCTACTCTTGGAAAGTAGGGGCGGTACTAGGTGAGTTAGTAGAACTGAATCACAGGCAGAGGGTCAGTTAGCAAATGAGTACAAGGTGAGGCCAGCAGGGCTTGATGCCAGGTGGTGCCAATCTCTGAAACTGGGCTGAGCATTTCCTTCCCTTATAAGGTCACATCTGGGCGTAGCAGCTGGCAGGACCACACTTGAGGTGGGAAGACAGAGAACTTCACCTACAGGAAGGCTCAGGCCTGGCAGGGGACAGGAACTCAGCAGCAGTGGTGCATGTTTCTTTTTTTTTTTTTTTTTTTTTTTTTAATTTTTTTTTTTCAACATTTATTTATTTTTGGGACAGAGAGAGACAGAGCATGAACGGGGGAGGGGCAGAGAGAGAGGGAGACACAGAATCGGAAACCGGCTCCAGGCTCTGAGCCATCAGCCCAGAGCCCGACGCGGGGCTCGAACTCACAGACGGCGAGATCGTGACCTGGCTGAAGTCGGACGCTTAACCGACTGCGCCACCCAGGCGCCCCTATGTTGCATGTTTCTTTAAAAAGCAATTGGTTAGGGGTGCCTGGGTGGCTCAGTTGGTTAAGCTTCCGGGTCTTGATTTTGGCTCAGGTCATGATTTCACTGGTTCATGGGGTTGAGCCTTGCATTGGGCTCTACGCTGACAAAGCGGAGCCTGCTTGGGATTCTTTCCATCTCCCTCTCTCTCTGTCTCTCTCTCTCCCTCCCCTGCTCATGCTTGCATGCATGCTCTCTCTCTCAAAATAAATAAATAAACATTAAAAACAAAACAAAAAAAAGCAATTGGTTAGTTACTCCCAAGCCAGCAGGAGCCAGTCTAATCAGAGAAGTAACTGTCTTGGTCAGGGTACAGTCCAGAAACCAGAGTCCAAGCTGGGAGTCCAACAGAGGGACTTCAACCCAGGGAACTAATTACAAATGTGTTGGGAGGGCTGGAAACCCAAAAGGAGCATGAGGCACTGCAGAGATCAGCAACAGAGGCCACTCCGCCTATGGGGTTGGAGGAAGAAAGCCCGGAGGTGTTTGTAGAATACCAGCAGGATCTGGAAGCAAGCAGGAAATATATCCCCTCTGGAATCACAGTCCAAAGCTGTCTCCCCACTGTGCGTGCCTCCTGCAGGTTAGACCTCACTGGAACCTGCTGGCAGGGGAGCCTGAGAAGTGTGGTTGGCAGGGGAATGCATGAAGCACAAACACGGAAATGACCAGTGTGTGTGCACAGAAATGTACAATTGTCCACAGTGGCAGGTGCCATGAGGACAACTGAGACAGAGCCTGACCAAGTGTGAGAAGGTGATGTTTGAGGAGTGTTTGAATTGACATTTGAGTAGTGATTCACAGGAGTTACCCAGGCCAGGGGTTAGTGAGAATATGGCACAGGGAGTGGAGAGCAGGGGGTGAGGCATTGGAGAAGGAAAGAGCAGGGGTTGCAGCTGAGGGCCAGACTGTGCCAGGCATTGAAGGACAGGTTAGGGATTTTTATTTTTATCCTGAGAGCAGTTTGGGGAGCCACTGGGAATTTGAAGCAGGAGAGTGACCGGATCAGATTGGAGTTTGGAAGTATTTCTCAGGCTGCAGTATTGGAGGTTAATTGCACTACCAGGGAAGACAAGTTTCCACTGAGAGGAGCACATTTCTGGATTCCCAAACACCCTGCCACCAGCCAGGGCTCCAGCTCACACAGACAGGGCTCCAGCTCACACAGGCCAGAGAGAAGTCCCACAGGCAATCAGGACCCCAACACAGATTTTCAGGTGCCCATGTTAGTCTTGCAGATTATAGCTGAATAATTTTCACTACATCAGTTCAAGGTCACATTATTTCCACAAGGTGTTTTCATTGCCTCTTGGTTGCATGGGTAAATGAGCCAACATTGGCAAGAGTCCTGACAATGACACATAAGTGGCCACTCATTAGAATCACCTGGAAAGCATTAAACACCACTGACCTCCAAACCCTGCCCCAGGCCAATTGCAGCAGAATCTCTGGGCATAGCCTTAACCACTACACTTTTTTTTTTAATGTTTACTTATTTTTGAGAGATAGAGACACAGCACGAGTGGGGAAGGGACAGAGAGAGAAGGAGACACAGAATCCAAGGCAGGCTCCAGATTCTGAGCTGTTAGCATAGAGCCCGATGTGGGACTCGAACTCACAGAGCATGAGATCATGAGCTGAGCTGAAGCCGGACTCTTAACTGACTGAGCCACCCAGGCGCCCCTCAACCACTACACTTTTAAATCCTCCCTGAGTGATTGGAATAGGTATCTACAGATTCTTCTTCTCCCCAAAACAATTTGCATTACTCTTTTGAAGAAGACTATCAGAACATGGTTATCTTCAGTTCCTTGTTTGTTGGTTTTTTTCTCTCTTGCAGAATAGAAATTGAAAAAGGCGGGGCTGGGGGGAGTTTATGTGTGAGTCTACTTTCTATAGCTTTGTGTGTGAGTCTACTTTCTATAGCTTTGTGAAATCCCAAGGTTTCCTTCTAATTAGAAAATTTACCCAAACCAGGTCTTTCGGCCACTTACTCATAGCGTCCTTCATACCCTGTTAGTTTGCAAGCTCCTCCATTCATGCAGCTTCTTAAAGGGAAAAACCTTATTTTTTTTCCTCTGAAGTATTTCAAAACACTTCTAAAATTAAAAAAAAAAAAAAAAAAGGAACAGCTTTTAAAGTTGTACAGAATCTTCCTCAAAAGAAAAAAAAAAAAAACTAGGGGCGTTTGGGTGGCTCAGTTGGTTAAGCCTCTGGCTCTTGATTTCAGCTCAGGTCATGCTCTCATGGTTCATGAGTTCAAGCCCTGAGTTAGGCTCTGCACAGACAGTGTGGAACCTGCTTGGAATTCTCTCTCTCCCTCTCTCTGCCCCTCCCCAGCTCATGCTCTCTCTCTCTTTCTCTCTCTCAAAATGAATAAATGAACATTAAAAAATATTTTTAAAAATCAACAACTATTTTCTGAGCCATGTTCAAAGCTGTGAGTATATGTGCAAAGGGACTGGTTAGTGTGATACAAAGGATCGCGGTCCCCACCTTCAAGGAGTTCTTTTGTGCATGAAAGCTAACCAATGCTACCAGCGGAACCCCATAGGAGCCAAGGGGAAGCAAAGGCCAAAAGTGCTTCAATAACTTAATTTCCCTTTCCCTTGCAGACCTAGACAGCAACTCCAGGGGAGAGGAATCATAGCTCACACCAACGCACAGTGCCAGATAAACCAAGTGAAATTCAAGTTTCATTCTTCCAACCTAGTTTGGAAAAAAGACCGGACTACCATTGCTGGAAAGTTCTGCACTGCTCCTTTGCCAGTCAATGACAAGTAAGCCCAGAATCCACACCTGCCCCATACATACCCACAAGGACCAATCCTGACCTGAGATGTGACATTTGTTGAGGTATAGTCTCATCACAGAGATTAGCTTCTTCAACAGAAATGACAAAGACTTAGGGTTTTCTTGAATTTCCTATGGGGCCATCTTGGGTTGGAGGTGTTCAAAAGCCAAAGAGGGTAGGCTTCAATTTCCCATTCCTACTTCAATATAAGAAACTTCATTTTATCTGATATACAGCTGAATAATTTTATATATACATATAAAATCTATTTTATATATGTCTTATTCAGTTTCTACATACGATTTATTGAAACAAAGACTTCTCATTGCATAGTTCCTCCTCCTTAGTCTCCACTGGTCACATTCACAGCTGTGGATCCACCTGTGCCTCTAGCACAAATTTATATTAGTCTTACCACCCCTGGGCACTTGGAGGAGTAGTAGACTCCTATAATAGACAGCTATAGGCTTCTTTCATCTGACATCATGGTAACACAAGAGCACACAACTCCTAGCCCTCTTTCCTGAGCAATCGGGGACCTGCCCTGAGCACAAACCTTCTTGTTGCTCTTCTTTTGCAGCAAACAGACTGTCTGCTTACCTGAGCCAGTGAACTTACAAGCGAGTGTGACCGTTTCTCATGACCTGAAACTAAAGTGTGTATAGTATAAGCCTGGGCAGGATGCATCTCCCTGGATTTCAGAGGTCGGGGAGCTATGTTCAACTTACTCTAGGCCATTACTACTAGAAAGAAGGCAAACTCGTGGTTATTTTCCCCATAATAGCCACCTTAGAGGGGAGAGATAACTCATTCTATCAGAGCTTTGTCTCTGTTACCAATTTGAACAGCCTTACAAAAATACCGCTTCAGCTTTTCTATTCCTACTTAACTGCATATTAACTGCAATTGCCCCATATCCTTGAACATCTGTGCCTAGGATTCAATGGAAACATTCACAGGAACAATGTTTTTTTTTTTTTAAAAATAATAAAACACCATGGAATATCTGAATGATTTCATTGTTTTATTGGAATGGAATTCTGTGATGTATAGAAATGTGACTTTCTATAGGATGGAGAAAACAATAGGCGCTGAATTCTCTGTATTAAAATAGCAATTGAGAAGAAGTGCTTGGAACAGGAGAGGGGATGGAGGGCTGGGAAAAAGATAGCACCATTCACCATTCCTTACCATTGCCTTCTCTTGATATCTGGAAGGTTTAGGGAATCAGAGAGATCTTTGGGGAATATAGATGAATTTTCTTTGGGTCAGTGTTTCCCGAACTTTGTTGTAAGTTACCTTGTATACAGCCATAGTCCAGCAAGAAACAAATGATTTGCTCTAACAGGGTAATTTGAGGAGAATTTAATAAAAGGACTATTTACAAAGGTCTTAGTAGGAAGTGGGAAAACCAGAAGGGATGGTGCTGTTCCCTCGGGCTAGGGGCTGAGTTAGCTCATCCTGCCCTAGGTCTGAAGAGGCAAGAAGAGAGAGCACTGGAATCCCAAGACTGACAGGGGCCGCCAGACCTTCAGTCAAGGGACATGGTCACCCGGACAGCAATCCTGTAGGGAGGGAACTGAGGAAATAGATTCTCCAATCTCACTCTTCTTTCTGCCCTCATCTCCTGCTAGTGCTCCCCAATGAATGACTCCAAGCAGAAGCCAGAAGGCAAGAAGCATGTTGATGTGACCCAGGGCATAAAGCAGGACAGAGAAGGGTGGAGAATGCCTGGGGTGTGGGTGAGGAACCCCAGAGAGATATGGCACACACCATCACACTTTCTCCACAAGCAGGTACTCCCTGGAATCTTCCAACTTAATCGTTTTACCACTTTTTTTTAAATGTTTGTTTATTTTTGAGAGAGAGATTGAGCACAGGTGGGGGAGGGGCAGAGAGAGAGGGAGACAAAGAATCCAAAGCAGACTCTAGGCTCCGAGCTGTCAGCACAGAGCCCAATGAGGGGCTTGAACTCACGAACCACAAGATCATGACCTGAGCCAAAGTCAGACACTCAACCAACTGAGCCACCCAGGCGCCCCTCATTTTAGCTTCTTTAAAAAATCCTTTAAGTCATTTTTAAGTGTACGATCCAGTAGTATTAAGTACATTCATAGTGTTGTACAGCCATTACCTCTTTCCATCTCCAGAACTTTTTCATCTTCCCCAATCGAAGCTTTGAACCCATTAAGCAATTCCCCATCGCCCCCCGGCCCCCGCCCCTGGTAACCACTATTCTACTTTCTGTCACTATGATTTCTACTCTTCTAGAATACCTCATACAATCACGCAATATGTGTCCTTTTGTATCTGGCATATTTCACTTCGCATGACATTTTCAAAGTCCCCCATGTAATAGCATGTGTCAGAATTTCCTTTCTTCGTAAGGATGAATAGTATTCCATGGTATACGTATGTCACATTTTGTTTACCACTTCAGCCATCCACGGACACTTGTGTTACTCCACCTTTTGGCTGTTTGAATAATGATGCTCTGAACACGTGTGTACAAAGATCTGTTCAAATAAATGTGCTTTGAAAGAAACTGCTGACTTGCTGGTTCACTGTCCACAGTAAAGGCAGGAAGATGATATAAGCAGTAGCCTGCAATTGGTCCGTCTGGGCCAAGTCACCCAGCTGACCAGAAGTCAGGGTTTGGGCCTTTGTCTAGGCTGTAGAAATGCAATGAAAGGACAGGTGATGCATTGTGAATACTAACGTAGGTCTTTACTTTCTGCACTGCCCCCCACAGTCAGTGGGAGCGTAACATGCGTGCAGAAACTCCCCCCAGTATTGGGCAGGCTTGGGGTTCATTTTTATTTTTCAAAACCCAAACCCCCTCTTTCCTTTACTCCCTCCCTTACTCCACCCAGGTTCCAGGCAAGGACCTGGCTAGAGACAGTGTTACCCAGGAGCTATATTAGGGCTGTGCCTACTGTTCCTTGACCTTAATGTCCTTGTCACACATTTGCCATCCTGGGAGACACTGCTCAGCACATAGTTCTTCCTTGGTTTTCCCCACTGCTTATCGCTTCCAAGCGTGTGTAAATTATGCTTCTATGATCAAAATGATGTTACGTGATGCTGATTGGTGTTTCACTGACCTGTTTTTCCCTGTCCTCATGCTTCCAGTTTTGCCTTTGAGTACACCCCTGTGCTTCTTTGCTAATAGCTTCTTACTTTAAAGCACGATTAGACTCTCTCACATTTCATTTTCCTCCCCATCAGAAATTTTAGATCATTACCCTAAATGAAAATCCAGTTTTCCAGGGGCACCTGGGTGGCTCAGTTGGTTGAGCTTCTGACTCTTGGTTTTGGCTCAGGTCATGATCTAATGGCTTTGTGGGTTTGAGCCCCGTATTGGGCTCCATGTTGATGGTACACAGCCTGCTTGGGATCCTCTCTCTCCCTCTCTCTCCCTGACTCCCCTACTCGTGCTGTCTCTGTCTCTCTCAAAATAGAGAAAAAAGAAAAAAGAAAAAAACTTAAAAAAAGAAAAAAGAAAAGCCAGTTTTCCTTCTTGTAAATTAATACAATGATAACATAATAATGTTTAAAAGTCCAACTAGATGTTGTGGCTTGCTGAAGGCTCTCCACTTCAGGCCTGTCCTTTCCTTATTAAAAAGGGAAGATTAGTAAATATGAGATGACAAAACCTTATTAACACCAGAGACTTTCTTCTTTATGTAATCAGTGACTTGAAAAAAAATGAAAACATAAACAGCAATCTCACCAGGAGACTTAATGTTATTTAATGCTGGGTCTATGTGCTACCTTAAACCATCCTGCCCAGTGGCCCACACTTTGGGAAACCTGGCTTTAAGTAGGTGGGACATGTGTGAGATTTGAAAAAAGAGAGAGGTAACAAGAAAATCTGCCTGATGGCAAGGCAAGAGCATCGTCTCCCTTCCACACCCCCTGCTGCTCACGACCTCTTTTGAGATCTTTCCATGAGCAGAGACAATTACAGAAGTAATTCCCTTTGATAGTACACCCCTTCCCTTAAGTGGCACTGCAAACATGGTTTCCAGACCCTTCCTCCCTCTGGTCGTGATACCCTGAATATGTTCAGTTTGTGCCATAATCCCAGGACTGGGCTCAATGTTTTCAATCTTCCTCCCACAGAACACACCAAGTATACAGTTTTACATGTTCCTCATTATAATCCTCCATTAATTCAGCCCAAGAGTCACTTTAGGGTTCAACTGCAACTCTTCAACTTTTTTTAAGTTTATTTATTTATTCTGAGAGAGAGAGAGAGAGAGAGAGAGAGAGAACCAATGGGGAAAGGGCAGAGAGAGAGGGGAACAGAAGATCCAAAGCAGGCTCCAGGCTTCATGCTGACAGCAGAGAGCCCGATGTGGGGATCGAATTCACAAACCGTGAGATCATGACCTGAGCCAAAGTCAGATGCTTAACTGACTGAGCCACCCAGGCGCCCCTCAACTCTTCAATTTTTAGAGTCTATTATTCTTACTGATTCTGCTTTCTTTCTTTCTCGTGGAATTGATTTTTTTAACCTGAATGAACTTTCCATATAACCCAATTCCTTTACATGTTAGTGTTGTAATCTTTCAACTTGTCAGGAATTACTTATATCCCGATTTTATCCTTAGGAACATTTAGCTTTCCCTCCAAGCTTTATGTAATTTTTATATATTTATTATATATCTATATATATATATATACACACATATATATGTCACTTTTATTTTTATTTTTTTTAATGTTTATTTATTTTTGAGAGAGAGAGAGACAGAGCATGAGTATGGGAAAGAGAAGAGAGAAAGGGAGACACAGAATCCGAAGCAGGCTCCAGGCTCTGAGCTGTCAGCATGGAGCCCGATGTGGGGCTCAAACCCACAAACCATGAGATCATGACCTGAGCTGAAGTCGGATGCTTAACCAACTGAGCCACCCAGGTGTCCCAATGTGTATGTCATTTTTAAATAGATTTCTTTTTATATCTGTATCCAAGAACTTGAGAGGAGAAAGTGAAGGACAAAGCCCTACTTCTAGAAGCTCCCTTAAGATTAATCAATACTCTGGGTCTGAACATTTGCATAGATTTCTAATTCATGTTTATCTTGACTACTTATATATTATGAGAAAAGTTTCAATACTTTATAATGATCCCCTGATCTGAGAGAGAGAAAAGAGAGATAATATGATTGCGTTTTAGCATGACTTCATTCCCAAGAGCTCCTGATAATTTCTACTTAATTTCGTAAATATATACAAGCAATGTTTTTAGTGATTTGTCCCTGGACTTTGCTGAGAACACACCAAACTTCCTAGTCTCTACTTTCAGGAATTTCTGCTTTACTTCTTTTTGGCTACTGGGGCAAATGTATCTACCATCTTCTAACTTCTTTTCTTTGGGATTATTCAGTGATCACCAAAGACCTCAGTTACCCTGCAAGGTATTTCTAAAGCAAGATTGTAACTCAGGGTCTGGGTACCAGAATTCACTTAAAGCAGTTGGGTGATCGCTTCTCAATCTTGGTCTTCAGATTAATTTCCAAACCAAACCAAACAAAAAACCTCCCATACATTATTATATATATATTTTTCAAACTACAGAATCAATAAATGTTCATTTTAACAAGTCAAACTGTAGATATATAGACTACCATGGCCCTGAGGTAATCCATGTTAATAGCCGTATGTATGTCCTTCTACCCATTTCTCCGTGTAAATACAAATATATACACACAAAGTTGTTTTTTTAACAAAAATGAAATCATAGTACACCTATCACTCTGCAATTTTTGTAGTCACTTAACAATATGTCATGACTATCCCTCCAATTAGACACAGGTCTAATCTACTCACTGGATGTGTAATGTTCCACAGTCTGGATATGCCAAAATTTTGTCAGCTTTTTTCTTTGTGATGGACTGAGGTTGTTTCAACTACAAATGATGCTGCAATAAATATTTGTGTGCATCTATCTCATATTGTGACTCCTGCATTTCTGTATGATAAATTTTTGCAGTAAGAATTGCTAGGTCAACAGATATATCAAAAGATTACTAATGCTGGATTACTTTCTAAACATGGCATACCAGTTCACATATGCTCTGACAGTGGTTCAAAGAAACTGGTTTCTTGCAATTACTTATTCAAGCATTTGTCTTCCTAAGATAAGTTACTCAAACCCCCAAATTTCTCCTCTGGAGTTACCATGTGGTGTTCAACTGGCTCCAAGTTGGCCAATCCATACCCATGTGTGAAAGTGGAATGACATTTTCCTTCAGAACTTTAGGGGCCTGAGATTTCATTACTTTTGAAAAATGGCATTCATTCAGACACCATAATCTCTGAGCAGTGAAATCATTAGAAGGGATGAGCTATAAAGACCTCTAAAAAAAATTAAACTCTTATTTATTTATGACTATAAAACTCAACTCTTTAAAAAAATTTCAGTCAATACAGAAAGTTATGAAAGACAAAGTGAAAAACTAAAACTTCCTGAGCATTTAATACGTGTCAGGTAGTGTTCTAATCCCTTTATATAAATTCTCTTATTAATCCTCCCAGCAGTTCCATGTACTACCTCATTATATCAGAGAACATGGAGGGAGAGGGAATTAAGCAACTTGTCCATGGTCATACAGCTGGCAATGGGTGAAATCAGGATTCACACTAAGCCATGTGCCTCTAGAACCTGGGCTCTGTCCACTGTGTGATACGGGCTGGCCTCCTCAAGTTGGATTTTAGCACTTGCAACATCCTCAGTCTGGCCCCACTCTGCCTAACTGAAGTTACCTGCCGTGTCCCCCTTGTGCTGAAGCCAGTATCCCCCTAAAGCATACTGTGGACTATGTCACTTCCAAGCCTTTGCGCCTGCTGCCCTCACCATCCCCTTCAGGCTCTACCAGCCATTCAGATAGAACTTCCAGTTCTATCTCTTCCAGGAAGACTGGCCTTCAGTATGTCATTTCAGTCAGTATCCATGCAGGGCTCTTGGCTGGCTCAATTGGTAGAGGATATGACTCTTGATCTTGAGGTTGTAAGTTCAAGACCCACTTTGGGTATAAAGATTACTTAAAAATAAAGTCTTTAAAAAAAAATATCTCCAGGAGGAAGCTGTGGGTGTATAAAGGAATCATACTGAAACATAAATCTTCTCATATTGCTAAAATCTCACCCAGCCCTTGATCTCCTTGTTCAGTGGTCCTGAGTGACCTTCTCAGAGAGACATACACTGCTGCCCCCCAGCCTTAAACACACCTCTGACCTCACTCTTCGACATGCTCAGACCTTGGGGTGACCATCACAGCCCACATTTACCCCAGAGGAGGTTGGCTTCTTCTCCTAAGAGAGGAGCCTGGAGGTGATGTGGCCATCCCTGTGCCTGAGTTCTTCTATGTCCCAGGCCCTAAAATCCTCCCTATCTTCAGTATTCACTCACTTATGAAACATTAACTATTTGCTTTATGGGGGCCATTCAGTGTCCTGACAATAGCCCAAATTCAAACTATCCAAAATAAAATCAACATCTCCCCCAAAGTTGTTTCTCTCTCCTCAATGACAATAGCCACCACACTGGCATGCAACATCAGGCTTGAAGCCTGAGTTATCTTTGGCTCAAGACATTATAATGCTCAAAAAGAAAAAAGTAATTACCCCCTCTTCCTCCCTCCCAATACCTGATTTACACTTAGACACTATGTCTCTCAATTTCTTCAAAATGTGTCTGGTATCTGTCCGTTCCTTTCTGTTTTCTCAGACGTGGGGTAAGGCGTTGGATTTGGCACCAGTCTCTGAACTGGTATCTTCCTCCAGATTCTTTCCCCTCTAGTCCCTCTATTTACCTGTGCCAGATAACTCCTACAAAGTCTTTAAACTTATCATTCTCCTGCTGCCAATTTTTCACTGGATTTTCCCAAAGGCCTTAGAATAAGAGCTTCTTAACTTCTTAACCTAGAATTCAGGAACTTCTATGCCTCAATCCTTATCTTTCTTCCTTGATTTCTCTTATTCTTTTCCAAAAGAAATTCTTAGATCCTCTGAGGTTGATCTATTATCATTATTATTGTTGGGTTCCTTAAGCAACCCTTGTTTATTAGTCATCAAGCCACAGAGTGTCAGAGGAAGAAAGAAGAGCCCAGAAAGATTAAGGGAATTGCCTGAAGTCAAACCGCCACCGGAGAAAAAACACAGCCACTCTCCCATTTTTACTGCACTTCCAAACCAGACTGCACTTCTATTGGGTTTTAATAACTCTAAGTGACTCTTCAATAAATGCAAATGTGAGCTTTAATAGCTTTTGAAGACTATCAAGGGGCAGTGTTTATCTGGAAGTAAATTCCTGCTGCTACCCTGAAGCTCTGGGTCTTTAACATTTACCCAGGCCCATACCAGTATAGACAGATTCTTAGTTTGGACAGAACTGGAGGGTGGAGAAGTGGAAAGAGATCTAGGCAAATATCCAGGGAAGGAGAGCCCAATATGTGAACACCCCTCTTCTTGGGGTCAGACTGACTCAAGTGAAAATGCCCCTTCTCTCCTGCAGTTACCAGCCCCTGCAACTTCACAACTCCAAGTGCTCACCCAGCCCTCCTGGTTTGGACTTGAAACTCAGTCCACCCCAAAGTCAAGATCGTTCCTTTTTCACTCTCAACCCATGGTTCACTTCAGAAGCTGCCCTTTGCTATACTTCTTCTATGGAGAGCACGGGGAAATGGTAAAACTAAAGACAAGCTATCACAAAACCAGAATGTTCACTCATTCATTCATTCATTCACTCATTCAGCAAACCTTTAGTGTAAGCCTGCTATGTCCAGGCACTATTCTGATGGCAATCCTCTTAATAATAACTACAATGTATTGAATGCTTACTGTGTGACAGGCATGGTTTTATGTTTCATTAAATTCTCACAGCAACATGAGATAGGTTCTTCTTTTGTTATTGCCATTTTACATATGAGCAAGCTGAGGTACAGAGCAGTTATGTAACTAGACCATGAATGTGGCAGTGCTAAAATTCGAATCCAAGTGGTCAACTCCAGAGCTCTGTTTTCTTAACCCTACACTATGTTCATAAGGCATCCTAACCCAATGTCTACTTATGTTATCCCCATATCCTTGTTTTTTAAACTTAATTTAATAAAAATTTGCCAGCAATGGCAAGGTGTCTGGCCATGTTGCATTAAAGTAGATTTTACTAGGTCAGATGAAGTATTACAGTGTAAATAGGAGGGTTTTAAAAATATGTGTATTTATGTTTGTGATGAATAAATGACAGGTATTAAAATAATTTGAGAGCTACTGGAGGTTGCAAAAGACAAGAGAAATAGAAGACATGTGGTGAATGACGAGGAATCAGATTACAAGAAACAAAATTCAGGGAAAAGAGAAGAAATCACATTGGAGAAATTAGGAGTGACCCACATTTTCATCTCCCACACTTCAGAGAGGAACAGGCAAGAAGTCTGAGCTGTCCACAGACAGGAGATGGGGACAGCAGGCCTGAGCTCCTCAGCAGGGCCTGGAGAAACCAGAAGAAAGGACCTCCTTCCTGAGTCACGCATGAGTCAAAGACAAAGTGTTCTAACTTCAACAGGAGGCAGAAGCAAAAGAACACTGGAAAGTGGAACTAGAAGTTTCTAAAATCCTAATCTAGGCCATGTTGAAATGTTAGACAGCTGAGTTTAACAAAGATCTAACAATTACCAACTAAATGCCAGGCACATGACACCATGTGGGGTGCTGGGACTATGGCCATAAGAATCTGCCCAGCCCTCAAGCACCTGGAGAGAAAGTCTGGGGGGAGGTGAGAGCTGAGGGTGGTGGTCCAAGAGGACTCTGAGAGTCCTGGAGGGGACAGATTAATGCTGACAGAGGTGGGGTAGATGTCAGGGACAGTGTGGGAGGGGAGGGGACATTTGTACTAGTCTTGAGGGATGACTAGGACTCAGAGCAGAGGGTTGGGGGTATAGAGGGCAATTCCAGGCCATTGAGCAACCGTCAGTTGGCAATCGGCAGTTGGCAATCATGTGCTATGCAGAAGAGGGCTCTTGGTAAGGATCACGTCAGAGAAGTGAATCAAAAGTGAAATAAAATCCCATGATCTCTAGGGAAATTTCTGAGTGGGAGACATGTGTCAACGTATGAATTCCATGACAATTAGAAGTGAAACCACTGAGAGCATTGCTCACATTTTTTCCGTCATTGAGACTTGTGGGGGAGTCTACAGGAAACCAGGGTGTCAGGAATATATGCGGAAGAAGATGGAGAACCTCTAAGATGGATTTGCCTCCTCTCCCAAGCAATTCCCCCCAGGCTATCTCTCAGGTGTCTGCCTCTCTGTTCCCATCACCATCATATATTCTGGCCCTTGGTACCTCACAATCCCTCTGACTGTTTCAATGGCTGACACTGTTCTCCTGGCTTTGTTCTCTCAGGTCTCTCAGAATGTGAACATTTACGAAACAACTAAACTCTGCCAGACTCTGTGGTATGCACTGAATGCAGTCTCCCTCAGCACTGCTCTGAGTGCACCATTTTCCTGCTCACTTTCCATCGCCTTTTGATGAGAGCTTATTTAGGTTCCACAGTTAGTCACTAAGAGCCATTGGTTCTCCTCCAGCCATGCTTTTCTTGTACCTTCCAGCGTAGGGTCTTTGAGTCACATATTTCTTTTTCCTGGATTGCTTCTGCCTTGCCTAACTCTGTCTTTGAAGGCACAGCTCAGTTTCTCCATGAACCCTCCGAATACCAGAAATAGGAAGTGATCTCTTCTGCTGGAGTTCTGTAGGTCATATAGTGGTTTAAACCACTCTTGTAATGCTTTCCACAGTGGACTGACACAGCTTATTTGTATATACGTCAGGGATCTGACGTATATTTATTTATGGTTCACAAGAAACCTATTTACACATGGACTGAGGACTCTCAGAGGAGAGTTAATTAATTAATCCTCAGAGGAGCCAGGCCCAAGGAGCTTGACTTAGCAAGGCCTTGGTGGGGAGAGGGGCAGGGTGCTTATGATTCATATCTCTCCTTTGCTAGAGCTCAAGTTCCTTCAGGGCAGATACCATGAATGATTCACTTATTAAAGCCTGTGATGTCCAGCATAATGTTTGACAGCAAGTGAATATTTAATAAGTATTCATGAGATAAAAGAATATTTATTGTTGTCTCCTGGGAGCAAATCTATTTGCCAGGCTTTATTGCTAAAATTTTGATATAAACCCAAGATTTTCTTCTCACATGTGTGGATTTCTAGTGTGGGGTTACTGCAGAAGGTTCACAAATCCATGTCATGTCAAGAATTTTCCATAGACTGAGTAAATAAAATGCTTTGTACCTACATGTAATGCTATATTTCAAATACATAAAGATACCATTGTGGTTGATTCTAAAAATCTACAAATATATCTAAAAAAAAAAAAAAAACCTTGTAAGAATCCAGATATCTTTTCCCACACAACTTCTATGATGTAGAAGGTCTGATCCTTTTAAAAACAAACGCACACACATTAAATGAAGTTCCCATTGTACAGAACCTCTGTTATGTACTGCATGTGTGTAACAGGAGCCCTGCTTAGGGAGACCTCTAGCTCGAGGGGTGGTACCTCATCCAGGTAATGCTGAGTCTCAACTTAGCGTGTACACACTTTGTTGCTGTTTGTTTATTGCTTTATTTATTCTCCACAACCGCCCTCAAGGGTTGACAAAAGAGCTACTGAATTTCTCAGAATTGACAAGGGAGAAATATATTGTGAAATATATAGGGAAGAGACAGAAATCAAACAAGAAAGGAAGTAAACAGTGTAATTTCAGGGAAAAAAAATGAGAAAAGGATGTAAGAGCTATATGGGACACAATGTACAGTTCTATCAAGCATGTAATTGGAATCCTAAAAGGAGAGGAAAGAGAAAAGACTCTGAAGAAAGTCCAAGCAGGGAAAAGGGACAGAAGATGATGGTAAGGTGAGTGGATATCTTAGCTGGGATGGTGACATTGGAGCTGAGAACTGAATGGCCAGAAGTCAGCAAGTGTAAAGGCCCTAATATAGAAAGGCTAGGTATGCCTGACAGATACCAAAAAGAATAGTGTGGTTGAAACATGATAAATAAGAATGAGATCAGAATAAAATACAGTTGAAGGACAGGCAGGTAGGGCATTGTGGCTTATAAGTTTCCAGAAGAATAGGATTCACCAAACATGCTTTTGCTTCCCCACATTTCCCAATCCCTTTAACCAAAGCACAAAGTGGATTATTAAGTGGGTCCATGAGATTACCGCTAGTCAATGGACTAGGGGCAGAAGTGATCTGTATCCTTTCTGGGCCAAAGCATCAAAAAGCTAGCACAGGAATGTCGAGCTGTTTCTTTCTTCAAGTGACAGAGCCAGATGGTCAGAGTAGATTGAATCACTGAGTTGCAACATGAAGACGGTTGCCCTCATGAGTCATGCAGACTGGCAGTAGACTTTAAGAGAGAAATAAACATTTGTGCTATGAAGTCATAATAAGCTCATCTTGACTAATGTCACATGGTAAGAAGTTTGGATTTTACTCTAAGTATAATAAAAGCCATTTGAAATTTTGAGCGAGAGAGTGATGAGATCATATACATGTTTAAATGACCACTATGCTGTGTGTACAATAGATTATGGGGAAGAGAGACAGGAGAAATAGGGAACCAGTTGTAAGTCCATTGAGGTTAATCCAGGTATGAAATAATAGCTTGAAATCAGTGGTAGCAGTGAAGGTGGTGAATTGAATTCAGGATATGTTTTGAAAATAGAACTAAGATAAATGGAAAGACTCCAAGGTTTTGGGCATGGGCAACTGACTGAAAAAGAAGACAGAGTAGAAGGTAACATGGGTGGAGTGGGAACCAAGAGTTATAAAGCTTTCTGGGTTTAAAGATCTCTTCCAAGAATACGAAAGAAGAAAGATAGAGTACTTCCTAACTCCTTTTACAAAGTCAGCATAACCCTGATATCAAACCTGACAATGATATTACAAGATACATATTTGTAAAAGTCCTAATATACATATATATATATATGTATATATATATATATATATATATATATATATATATATATTTGCAAACTAAGTTCAGATATAGACAAAGAGGAAAATGCAACATAATAAAATTGGATTTCCTCCAGAATGCATGGTTGTTTTAATATTCACATATCTATTGATGTAATTCATTAACAGAATAAGGGAGAAAAATAATCTCCATAAATGCAGAAAATCATTTAATGAAATTCAATACTCATCCCTGATTTAAAAAAAAAACAGCAAATTAGGAAAAGAACTTCTTTAATCTGATAGGGGCAATATAAAAATCTAATAGCACACATTATACTTAATAATGAAATATTGAAAATATTTTCCTTAAAGTCAGATATGAGAGAAGGATGTCTTCATTATCCCTTCCATTCATCCCTGTACTATAGGTCCTACCCAGAAAAACAAGGAATCAAAAGAAAAATAAGGAGGAGAAAGAGGAGGAGGAGTGAGGGGGAAGGTATAGGTTAGGAAGGAAGAAATAAAACCATCATTATTTACGGATGATATATGTGAATCTGTGGAAAATCCTGAAGACTCCCTGAATTAATTATTAGAAGTGATAAGTGAATTTATCAAGATCACTGAATTAAAGTTAAAGATACAAAACATCAATTATATTTCTATATGCTAGAATTCTCACTCATGTGTGGATCTTGAGAAACTTAACAGAAGACCATGGGGGAAGGGAAGGGAAAAAAAATAGTTACAAACAGAGAGGGAGGGAGGCACACCACAAGAGACTCTTAAATACAGAGAACAAACTGAGAGTGGATGGGGCAGGTGAGAGAGAAGGAAAAATGGGTGATGGGCATTGAGGAGGGCACTTGGGATGAGCACTGGGTGTTGTACATAAGCCAATTTGACAATAAATTATATTCATTAAAAAAAGTCACCGTTTTAGGTATGAATGTTATAGGACAATAGATAACCAGAATATATGTTGAAGTATTTAGGGGAAAAGTAAAATAGAATATATTAAATTTATAAACCCACTTAAAACTATGAAAGGAAATTTAATTAACTAAGTTTTTTAAAGTCCCTCTGAAAACTATTGTTTAATACTAGGGTCCTAAACAGAACAAGAGATTTGTAAGTTGAACTTAAAAGCTTAAGGGAAAACTAGGTTTTTAAAAATTTCTACTTCTATAAATTGAATCTAACTGGAAAAACAAACAAGTAAACCATGAAAACTTCTTGGCTAGCTGACTTCAGTGACCCTTTTAACAGTTCAGAAAAACAAGGGAAAAAAACTGAGTGATTTATGGAGTGCTTACTAGGTGTCACGCCATGTACATGTCCGAGGGGCTCTACCTAAGTCAGCTCATTCAGTGCTCACCACAACCCTGGGAGATGGGTTTTGTGAATCCCCACTCTACAGATGAGGCTCAGAGAGCCTATGTAACTTGCCCAAGATTCTGCAGTTAGTGAAGGATGGGATCGGTGCTTTCACACTTTTGGGTGCCTTTTCCTGGAAGGAAGGCTGGTGAGGGTAAATTTGCACAAGTCGCCTGGAGCCCTTGATGTTAGCAGCAGGGCGACGTCTTCTGTGTCTGCTCTGACCTTGCCTGTGAGCCTTCCAGGGGGTGAGACGCGGTGTGCACTCAAGTGACCTTCCTGTGAAGATTAGTGCGGCCAGAGAAAAAGATAGCCTGTTGATCCTTAAAGTTCAGGAGTGTGGGTTGGAGCCAAGGGGGCCTGTCCCCTGGACATAACTTGAGAGTAGCTGTGGAGAGGAGTTCTAGAAGCTGTGGAAAGAAAAAGAGGAAGGATTTCAGCACTGTGGCTCCAGGTGGCTTGCCTAACACCGCAGGGTTCTTTTCAGTTTATTTTTCTTCTACTAATTCACAACGCTTTAGCTGTCTCCAATACCTGATGTGATAGGGGCGGTCGTATCTTTGAATCGTCTCATTCTGGAGTATTAGGATGAACCAGCTCTGAAGTTATTTAGCCCAGTCTCATTTTTATAGGAGACGAGACCAAGAAATCAACTCCTGGTGCTTCCTATGAAGAATCTATAGAATTCTACTTCCTATCTAGCACTACTGAATGAGTTTCCAGGAAAAAAAAAAAACCTGTATGGCAAAATGATGAGTCTTATAAGACCCCTGTCTTTTTTTTTTTTTTTTTTAAACAAAGAGAGGCCTGTAAAATACAAGTAGGAGAACAATAGGTTCAGGCTGTTGTGGGTTGCAGGCTGCTGTGATCCAGAGGGCTGGGAGGGAGCTGCTTCCTCTTTAACTGAGCTGACCCAACATGAGGTCTTGGCAGAGAGAGTGGTGCTACCACCCAGAGACTCAGAACCTGAGGCCCGGGGGGCAGCTCCTGCTGTGCCACCATTAGGGGCAATTTTTTTGCCCCAGGTCTGTCTAGCAAAACTGACAGCTCCAAAGGACCTTACAGCCACTGCAGAGAAAAATATAGTGTGATGAAAAGAGGGTGAAGAGAGTGTGATGGTGATCTGTCTCCCCATGAGCCAATAAAGGAAAAGAGATGAAGGTCTGGCAAGTGATTGGTGAGTCAGGGGCTGAGGAGCCCATCGTGTGAGTCTCCACCTTTTTGCTGGGCCTTTGTCCTCAGGGGCCTCTGCCAGTTGCCACCTTCCCTGGAAAGCCAGACTGGGGGAAATAAGAGGTGAAATCATGTACCTCTGACAGAGAGGGAGGGGGGTTGCTAAACAATTCTGTATACAATGGGATACTGAAATACTTTACACATTTAACTAGGGCTTTACAAATGACAAACTACCTTTCTATACATTATCTCAGTTACTCCTCACATCAACCTGGTGAGGTAGACAGGCTACCTATCTACCTATTAGTACGTATTTATTATCCATTAGACTACTAGTCCTGTTCTGGAGATGAGAAACCACTCTTTATGGTTAAGTGACAGGACCAGAGTCAGATCTTAGAATCACAGAATCATAGTATCAGAGTTAGAAGACACCTTAATAGCAATAGCCTAAGGCATCCTTCTCTCAGAGCCTGCATCACCTTATAAAATCTCTGAGATTTCTTCTGGCTCCTACCTGAACTCTTCCAATGATGAGTAACTCACTAACTCTATGAGGCAACCCATTATTAATACTGAGTAAAACCCTTCCTCCTTATCATATTCAGTCCTTAACTCATTTCTGTCCTCAAGAATACCAAATTAAGGCAAATTCTTTTTTTAAGCTTATTTATTTATTCTGAGAGACAAAGAACATGAGTGGGGGAAGGGCAAAGAGAGAGAGGGAGAGAGAGAATCCCGAGCAGGCTCTACACTGTCAGCATGGAGCCTGATGCGGGACTTGAAATCATTAACCGTGAGATCATGACCTGAGCCAAAACCAAAAATCAGATGCTTAACTGACTGAGCCACCAAGGTGCCCCCCCAAATTAAGGCAAATTCTAATTCCCCTTCTTTTCAAAATCTGAGGATAGCACTCTTGCTCATCTCTCCAGATTAAACACCTTCAATTCTTTCAACTGTTACTCATGATGATCCATGACGTAGTTATCTGGCACAGTGCCTAAAATATACAGTAGATACTCAAATAGTTGTTGAATTGGCTCCCTGGCCCTGGGTACTATTATCCTGGTCCTGTGCTCCTTCCCCGACCACAGTTAGTCTCCATGTTGTCATCTGTTTCTCATTTGCTCGTTTATTTAAACAATAGGGAGGAGCGCCAGGGTGGCTCAGTCGGTTAAGCCTCTGACTCTTGATTTCAGCTCAGCCATGATCTCACAGTTCATGAGATAGAATCCTGTATGGGGCTCTGCACTGACAGTGCAGAGCCTGCTTGGGATTCTCTCTTTCTCTCTCTCCCTCTGCTCCTCCCCTGCTCTCTCTCTCTCTCTGAAAATAAATAAACATTGATAAACATTTATAAATAAACATTTATAAATAAATACATAATAGGGAGAATGGCAACAACATATGGTTTCTACTTTCAAATCACAGGGTTGCAGAAGAACTTGAAAACATAATCAAAATTGGCCACATTTCAAACAGCTTTCGATTAGTGATTAATTTGTGCTAATAGACTTGCTCTCTGACTTAACTGCTCACTCCAGAGTTGCATTCATGGAGCAGCTCCTATAAGTAAGACACCAAATGGGACATTGTAGAGAGTGTCCTCCACAGAATTCAAACTCCTAGTGAAGGCTGGGTTAATGCGAGGTCTGACTCTAACACCCCCCATGAATACATTATGCAGCAGGGCTGTTTTGCCCATTCAAAGAAGTAGCATTCAATTCCGGGCAACCCCAGACTAAAAGATGTACTGTTTTTCAAAAAGACCTCTAGTGGAAGCGCTGGCTATTCTTAGCTGGTCGTGGTGGGAAGGACAAGCACGGGTGTCAGTGTGATGAAGCTGTATCTTTCTCAATGATGTAGAACTCAGCCAGCTTCATGCTTCTTATGTAAGTGCTGTGCCAGGATGAACAGCACTGAGCTTACAATTCTGGTAACGGAAGAGCCGGGGAATAGATGGTGAGTTGTTCCCCTCATTATAAAGGAAGCAATAGTAAATTGCTACCTATCACAAGGGACTATTGTTTAAAGTAATAACCCTAGAAGGGATTTGATGACAATAAGTCAAACCAAGCCCCCGAAACACAATTCCAGAGAAGGATCTACGGTTTAAATTATCCCATTATCACAGACTGAACTGAAAGCCATGTGAAATTTATACAACTTGATCAGGTTTTCAAGTTGTTCTGAAAACTGTGGTTTGGAAGTAAATAATACGTTTTTTCCTTTCTATTACTTGAACAAAGAAACATTGAAAAATGTACTCTCTTTATATTGCCAATACTAATACTTTAGAAAGGGAGTTATAATAGCAGCTTTCTCATCTTGAGGTTCTGAAAAGGCTGCTTCCCAAAGAATGATTTGAAAAGGACTATTTCATATGATAGTCTCAAGGGCAGAGGAGCTTCGAGATTGAGTGGTGACCTTTCACACAGAACATCTGCACTATCATCACATAGTAGGTGATAGAGTCTTCACAGGTACAGAATTGGGGGGGGGGTGCTTTTTAAAAAATTGTCTTAATGTTTATTTATTTTTGACAGAGACAGACAGAGCAAAAGTAGGGGAGGGGCAGAGAGAGGGGGAGACACAGAATCCTAGGCAGGCTCCAGGCTCTGAGCTGTCAGCACAGAGCCCAACACAGGGGCTCGAACTCATGAACCGTGAAATCATGACCTGAGCTGAAGTTGGACGTTTAACTGACTGAGCCACCCAAGCGCCTTGTGGCGGGACTTCTAATCAAGCAGAACCCACCATTCAGCAAGGAGGAGGACAGTCCCAAGTCATAAGAGTAAGTGTAGTGAAATATGCTGAAAGACACTGTGATGTCCTGGGGCTTGTGTCCATTTCACTGCTGACTGTTTCTCTTTTTTGCTTCTGAACAACTCATCCTTTGCCTTCTTAACATAAACCCAAGAAGGCCTTTGGGGTCCATCTTATCCAACACACTCAAATGAAGAAAGTGAGGCTCGGTGAGATTGTGTGGTTTGCAAAACGTAGCAGACCCAGACGTAGAAGCCAGGACACTTCAGGCTCCCAGTTCTGGCTATCTCTCGTTTATCACGTTGCCTCCTCATGTCTGGGAAAACTCATACATGAAATGTGTAGCTACCTAAAGCTGGGAATTTTCATCCCTTCACCTGAATGGTTTTATCTACAGGCAGAGGGAGAGGTACTGATCTTGGAAGAGTATGGATTAAAGACCAAGATGGGGGTGCAGGGCAGGTTAAGAGGAAGAATAGATAGAGCAAGACAGGGAAGTGGGGAAGAAAGGAAAAGAAGGTAATAGAGGAGAAATATGTCAACAATTAAATGGGGGAAATGTAAAGGAGAGAAGAAATTAAGAAGAGAAGGCCTGTTTTTTCTTCTTATGAGCAGCCAACTGAAGGCAACCAAGGACTGAACAGGAGTCAGAAAGAGGGAAGAAAGAAGAGCAAATAGAACTACAAAAAAAGGAGGACACCGGGAAGAAAACGAGAACCCCAAGAGCTGCTATGAGTTAGGAGTGTGTACAGGTAGGTGGGTGGGCATGCTGGACAAAGAGAGGGATCCACGGGACATAACCCATATGCATGGATGGGGGTGGACAAGCAGGAAGGTGAGTATCAGCACAATGGGAAAGGGGTGATGAGAGTGGTCACTGTAAATGGAGGAAGTCAACAAGTAATCTTGGGTCCTGGATAGATCCATGGAATTCTCCAGAATCAGCCCAACTATGGTTCTAGGGACATCTAGGAGATGATACATTCCCTATCTCTAACACCAACACTCTAACTTCTTATCATTTGCCTCTCCTACCTCTTTCATCATTTACATAACTTGTGTTGTAAAATATATAAACATTCACTCATTCACCATGTGTACCCTGGAAACCTTCCTCACTGAGCTAGTTCCTTGAAAAATTTGTCAGTGCTTCCCAAAGGATGGTGGGTCCCTCGGGCACCTGCGTCACACACACTTGGAAATGCTTTCCCAACTGGGAACTGTGGGGTTTTCCTTAGGAGAATCCAGGCCTCCACCACTGCTGGGTGGAGTCCCAGAGGAAAATGTCACAGCACTGTGAGAGCACAAGGGGGAATACGCAAGCGATTTCCCGGAACTACTCAGTGCAGCCTTTCTTGTCCATTCTCCTGCGGTGTGAGGGAAATCCTGCCCTTACTGTTAGGTCCTCCCAGATTTGTGCCCATCCACCTCACCCAGGTGTGGTTTGTGGGGAAAGCCAGGCTGCTGTTACACCCATAGGATCATAGTAACAGGGCAGCACCCAGTCCTCTGCCCGAACAAGCAACGCACTCTACACCGGGCAAGAGAACAGCAAGGTGGGATGCTTTCCTCCCAGGGTCATCAGCGTATATCACAAGCCTCTTTGAAATATGTAATTTTAACAGACATAGCTGCCCAATCCAAGCTAAATAGCGACTGCTTTCCAGAGCTGCCTCTATGCTAGGAAAAACCGATAGGAATAAGAACCGATAGGAATTAGCGTTTTTTCCCCTTTAAAATGCATGCCATAGGGGCGCCTGGGTGGCTTTGTCGGTTGAGCGGCCCACTTTGGCTCAGGTCATGATCTCACGGTCCATGAGTTCAAGCCCCGCGTCGGGCTCTGTGCTGACAGCTCAGAGCCTGGAGCCTGTTTCAGATTCTGTGTCTCCCTCTCTCTGACCCTCCCCTGTTCATGCTCTGTCTCTCTCTGTCTCAAAAATAAATAAATGTTAAAAAAAAAAAAAAACTATTCACACAAACTTGCAAACAATTTAGCAATTGTTTGCTTGCTCAAAATGTCAAGCAGCCCACTTTCTAAGACGCAATCACCCTTAATAAAAAATGAGTTAAAAAAAAATCCCGCGACGCCTTGCATGCACCTGGAGTGAGTTGTTACTGCAAGGCTGGGTTAATGCCACTTTCTGGGAGTCCTGTGAGAGGACAGACTCCGTGAAATGGTTTTTTGCCCTTACAAGCTGAGTTAAGGCCAACTGTTGGCGGGAAGGCAAAGAGCTGCCTTCTGAGTACTTACACAGGATCCTGAGCCAGGTGGTTGTGCCCGTGTTAGCTCTCCCTCACCTCATGTACTCCCCATCACTCCTATAATCCATGAACGATTCTGATCCCGACACCTCCTCAAAATCCTCCAGCACCAGACTGGTGGAGTCCTCACCCAGGACGCCGCTGTCCGGCCTGGACATCCTGGCCCGGGAGGGAGGTGCTGGAGGGCCACTGGCAGCTGGAAGAGGAGAGCGAGGGGGTGTTTGCTGGGCAGATGTGGGCATGGCTGACTCACGGACTTCCTCATCATCCTTCTCAGACTCTGGCCCTGTATCTGGAGCAGCAGGACCCAGGACATGGTACAGGCTGGGGAGACGGATGTCGAAACGCAGCCCAAACTTGGCAAAGAGCTTATCGTTGAGAGCGTAGAGCTTCTCAGAGATGTCATAGCCCAGCAGGGCTGAGAAGAGGCGGGAAATGTATCGCTCTTTGGTCAAAAGAAGGTGGAGACTTTTCCGGGGCCAGGAGATGTAGCTACATGCAGTCTCAGCAGTCAGAGTGACCTGAAAGGGGTCGGGAGAAGAGAGTGAAGATTTAAATTAGACTGTGTTCATGCTTAGCTCAGAGAAACATACAATTACGTGGCAAAAGGCTGCACTTTTGTTGAAGAAATTGTGGGAGCCCCCCACCATAGGTGCCCCCCATGGCCTTGCCTGGAGGAGGGCCAGTGAATGACTTTTACTTGTGTGCATTGACATGGAGGGGTGTACTTGTCAGGAGCCCTGGGTTCAGCCATTCACCCACTGGGCCCTCCCCTCCAGGAACCTCAGTTTCCACACCCAGTTTCCTCAGCTGTCATATTCTGTGGTCCCATGGCTGTGGAAGGTTCTGAGTCTATTGTGATCTCAAGATAGAGATGGGGCCTCTCATTGCTCTGAAAAAGGCTGGCATGCTGATGACAGTTTGTTTTAAGAATAAAGAAGGATAATATATTGCAGTAAGGATTAAGGAAGGGTTGGAGCACATTCCAGTTAGAGAAGAGCTTCTCATTAGGCCTGCCAAGTTGCATCAGTGGGAGAACATTGGCCTGGAATTCAGGCCCAGGAAGCTGCTCTTGACATGGCTATGACAAGTAACCAAAGAGATCTGATGACTAAAGTCAGAAAAAGGGCACAGAGGAGAGGAACTCTTTTTTTTTTTTTTTTAACGTTTATTCATTTTTGAGAGACACAGAGAACATTTATTCATTTTTGTGAATGGGGGAAGGGCAGAGAGAGAGGGAGGCACAGAATCCGAAGCAGGCTCCAGGCTCTGAGCTGTCAGCCCAGGGCCTGGCATGGGTCTCGAACTCATGAACCGTGAGATCATGACCTGAGCTGAAGTTGGACACTTAACCGACTGAGCCACCCAGGCACCCTGAGGAAGAGGAACTCTTAAGGGCACAGAGACAAAGGGCACCTCACTCTCCATTTATTTAGCCATCTAGGAAGTTCTGAGCACTTACTACGGGCCCATAATGCAAAGCTAAATTACACCTGCAGGGCAGGTAAGGTGCCTGGCACGTAGCAGGTGCTTGATAAATCCTTGTTTTAACAATGATAAGTGCTAAAACTGGGGTTAAACTAGAAACGTAAGTAGGAGAGTAAAGGAATAGGGTGTAGAATCACACAATTCTTTATAATTGGATTGGCCACGATACTTTAAAAGTGAGGCGGCCAGAAGGCTCATGTTGAAGAATTGTGGAGACAATGGAGATAATGGTGGTGATGATAGCAGCGAACATTTACCTAGAGGTGGCTGTGAGCCAGGCATTGTGTTCAAGTCTTCATGTGGATTTTCTTATTAAAGGTAGGGTTGACTTCCAAACACCCTTTATTAGAGATTTTCTCTAGTGATTTTAATTCCTGCATTGTGGACCAGAGCTCCCACTACCCTTCTCTCTTCCTTCCTCCTGCAGTAGACCTCTTCTACTTTCTTCACTCATTTCCTCACCTCTGCTTCTCCCCGCCCTCCCCTCCCATCATCAACCCTGAAGTCAGGCCTCTAAATTGCTTCATCAAGGCCAGGAGCTGGCTTCAAGTTCAGCTTTACCCTTTGACCAGCTGTGTGACATCAGACAAATTCCTTAATCTCTCCAAGCATGGTGCCTCGTGAGAAAAAAATTCTGAAAGAAGTACTCACAATCTGCCCATTCCTAGCAGTTCAGCAAGGAGCCGTCACTATCTGCCAAGGCCCATACTTCATAGGTGTACTTACCAATAATTCCCAAACAGGAAATCAGAGTACTGACCCCGAAGCAGGTGTGAAGAAAAGCCCCTCTGGACATAAATGGTGTCCTTGATGCCAAACACAAAGACAATGGGCCTGCTTATGAATGTGATTTTACTTCTTCCATCTTAAACCAAAATAAAATCCTTTTTCTTCCCCCTAGCCTCTCTTCTTTGCTAGCTACGGCCTCATTAGTTTACTCCCCTTCTCAGCAAAACTCCAGGAAAATGGTTGTCTGTGCTTGCTGTCTCCAGCTCCTCTCCTCTCACTCTGTCTGAAACCAGCAAGGTTTTGCCCCTCACAGTCCACACACACACTGTTCCTGGTAAGGTCACCAGTGGCCTCTAAGCTGCAGTGTGACATCAGTTTTCCTGGTCAACCTTGCTGATGGTCCCTTCTCTTTAATGAGCTTTCTCTACTCGGCTCACAGGATGCCACGCTCTCCTGGGACAACCTCCTCGTCGCTCCTTTGAGGCTTCCTTTTTCTCTCCAGCTTCTAAACACTAGGGTATCCCAGAGTCGGTCCATTCTTAAACTTTTCTCTGTCTAAACTCACTCACTTAGTGATCTCATCTAATCGAATGGCTTGGAATATCATCTGTGTTCCAAAACTCCCCAACTTGTGTCTCAGGCTCAGACCTCATTCTTTAATTCTAGACTCAAATATTCAACTGCCTGTGCGGCATCTCCATTTAAATGTTCGTAGATGACACAAATCTAATATATCCAAAACTGAACTTCCTCTTTTCCTCCAAAACCAATTCTACTTGTAGCCTGCCTTATTTCAGTTGATAGCATCTCTATCTTTCCAGCTGCTCAGACCAAAAGCCTTAGAGTCTTCCTTGATCCTCCTTCTCACACACACACTACATGCGATGCATTAGGAAATTCTTTTGGCTCTGTTTAGAAAATTCATGCTCTGGCCCCACATGATGTGGTTCCTTGTCCCCTCTTTGATCCTCTCCTACTATTCTCTCCCCTTCCTCTCTCGGTTCCAGCCACCACTGCCTCATTTCTGTAGTTCAAATATGCTAGTCCCTCCCACCACAGGGCCTTTGCACTGGTTCTTCCTTCTATCTACTCTGCTCTGCCCTCAGCTTCCCAGAGCTCACTGTCACCTCCCTCAGGTCTTTGTTTAAATGTCACCTTCTCAACAAAGATTTCTATGACCACCCTACATAAAATTGCATCTGTAACTCTCTTAAGCCACTCTATTTTTTTTTCACTATTTTTTTCATTATCTTTTAACATCTTACATAGTTACTCATTATCTCTGTGGCTTATTTTTTTTATTTTTATCTCCCCTACTAGAGTACAAATGGCATGAAAGCAGGGAACTTCCTTAGTTGTTCACTGATACATCGCAAACACCTTTAACAGTGCCTAGTATACAATAAATGCTCCATATACATTACTGAAGTGATTGAATGAATCAGGTAAAGACTACAAATCTTATATGCTGCAAAACAACCGAATGTGACTTTTGCACGTCCTGTATAAAATCCTTCCTCAGAGGTCTTCAGGAAACTTGTTTATTGCCTCGTTCCCCCATGCATGTGCATATGTCTGTAACAAAGTTTCAACAATCTTTTTCTTTAGTTCTCACTTCAGGGGCTGATTAAATGAATCAAATGAAAAAACATATGTAAAGAGGACTTGGGTTTAGTAAGACACAATGTAAATTGGAGAAATAATTATGATTTCTGTGTGATACCTCCTATGCTATGTCCTTGGTGACGAATGAGAGGATCACAGTGCTAAACAGTCAATAAATTCTTATTTAAATGGATTGCTGAGAGGTGTGATGGAACATTGATTCATTTGTGGTAAACACAATGAGAATTATGATTCAGACAGTCACTACAGATTGCCCTATTAGTCCACAAAGACTATAATTGCAGAAGGCAAGGACAGAATGAACTATAACTCAGGACAACACCTGACATTTACAAAGAGGAAATGAGACTTTACACAGCCAATAGCAAACGTGTGGATCTTATTGCTCCCAGAGGAGGTGCACACTAAAAATATAAATGGGAGGAATATGACGGTAGCTACATTCCAGGCTGAGAGGCCATCTGGGGTTACAGCCCCTCCTTTCAAGCATAGCTTAGGGGAGAACACCCAGCTTATCCACCACCTGTTCATCAGTGTCAATGTCAGAAACAGAGCCTGGTCTATCTGGCTCAGGACCGGTTCTTAGGGCCCTAAAGGAGTTCTCACAGGAGACTGCTGGGCTGGTTGGAGACGGTAGGGGTGTGTGTGGTGGAAGAGGAACATGATTAGTGGGGGTCTATGGCTGGTGGCCTGGCAGTGGGATGGGGATTGTCTGTCTCTCAGGATCTGTCCTCACAGAGTCAGAAGTCAGGGTGGGGCAGAAGCAGGCCCAGTCAAGTGGCCACTGCCTGGCATGTATCTATTCTGGAGTTAGTTCAAATGCTAGCTTGGGGGACTCCCCAATAGAAGTGATAGAAGTAACATGGAACGCAGTACTAGCAAACTATTTGGACAGGGGAGTCCTTATAAGGTGTGTGTGTGTGTGTGTGTGTGTGTGTGTGTGTGTGTTCATTCCACTGTACTAGTGACCTGCTCGTTTTTAAAAAGAAAAGAAATATTGGGTGGGAGAATGGGCTAAATGGGTGATGGGCATTAAGGAGGGCACTTGTTGGGATGAGTACTGGATGTTAGATGTATGTGATGAATCACTAAATTCTACTCCTGAAATCATTATTACACTATATGTTAACTAACTTGGATCTAAATAAAATTTTTTAAAAAAGGTCTATATGATCATATGTTGGTGAGAATGTGGAGAAAAAGGCACCCTCGTGCACTATTGGTGGGAATGCAAACTGGTGGAGCCAATGCACTGGTGGAGCATGACAGTTTGGAGGTTCCTCCAAAAGTTAAAAATAGAACTACCATAAGATCCAGTAATCACACTACTAGGTATTTACCCAAAGAATACAAAAACACTAATTCAACGGGATACACATACACTGATGTTATAGCAGTATCATTTACAATAGCTAAGACATGGAAGCAGCCCAAGTGTCCATTGACTGACAGATGAATGGATAAAGAAGATGTGGTGTATAGGTACAATGGAATATTATTCAGCCACAAAGAAGAATGAAATCTTGTTTGCAACAACATGGATGGATCTAGAGGGTATTAGGCTAAGTGAAATAAGCCAATCAGAGGAAGACAAATATCATAGGATTTCACTCATGCTGAATTTAAGAAACAAAACAAACAAAAGCAAGAAAAGAGAGAGAGTGCATGAGAGAAAACAAGAAACATACTCTTAACTATAGAGAACAAACTGATGGTTTACAGAGGAGATGTGGGTGGGGAGATGGGTGAAATGAGAAAAAAAGAAGCATTTATAAGGGTGGAAATTTCCTCTTCATTTTTCTTCTCCTAGCTCTGCTAATACAACCATGGTTTGCTTATGCTGTAATTACCCCTGAGGTTGTTTTCATGTAGTTTGAGATTTGGGGGGGAATAAAAGTGTGAAGGAAAAAAAAAAGAACAGAAATAGTAGAGCCAGGCAACTTGACTTTGCCACTTTTGAGACGAAGACTTTGGGCAAATTGCTTGATGTTTTGGAACCTCAATTTCTTCATGTTAAGTGGGGTAATAATAATATCCAACTCAGAAGGTTGTTGCGAGAATCAATAAGGCAATATAACATATGGCGCCTCCCATGTACTAGCCATTCAATAAGTGAGAGCTGCAAAGAAGGGAACTGAAGTCTGAAGGGTTGGCAGCCCCCACCTTGGAACATGTCTGTGGATGCCTCACAGAGCTCTGAGACACCAACTGCCCACTGCCAGGCCAGTTCAGAAAAGCTTTCTTGAACACTTACTGTGTTCATGGTACTGTCCTTTGGAGCCCGAGAATAGAGAGAAGGGGAAGCCCAGATTTCTACTCAAAGAGTTAGGAAAGGAAAGACAGAAAGGAAACCAGATCATGAGAACAGGGAGCAATATATGCACCAGTCAGCAGAAGTAAAAAGAATAGAAAGGCACACAGACAGGAACAATAAGCTTTGGGATAGAAGCTGATGAGGTCAGTCTGGGCAGGCTTCAGAGGAAGTAAGATGCCATAGCCTCATTTAGAGGGGGGAAATGCATTTCAGGCAGAAGGTACAGAGGGGGGCAAGCATGGCTGTTGCAAAACAATTGGATGTATTTAGGGAAGTACTAGTCATTCAGTGTGACCAGTATGAGCAAAAAGTGGGAAGGAGAGAGGGGCTGGAGATGTGGCTGGATATCACAAAAGGTCTTAAGGAGTGTGGGTTTTTATTTTGTGATCACTGGGTTTTAGGCATAGCAGTGACATGGCCCACCTATCAGGGGTTAGGACCTCCCTGTCCCACCCCACCCACCTCTGCCAGCAGCCCACGCACTCTTTCCACAGAAGGAGAGCGCTCCCACGCCTAGCATCACATTGGCGGTGGTTCAGAGAACAGATGTAAGCGGGGAAAGATGGAGGGGGGCATATCACTGGGTCACAGTAGGATGGGGTGGGACGGTGCTGCCACAGGCTCCCTATTACCTGGAACACCCCCTCCTCGGAGGGCTGCAGCGATTCCCACTCAGGAGAGTCCATGAACTGGTAAGGAAAGATGTAGTGCAGAAATTGCCCATCCTGGCTCACACGAACCCTGGCAAAGGGAGAGAAGAGACCATGTGGGAAAAGGACAGTGACTACCCAAATCTTCTTCAGTCTACATTACATATTTAAAAATGGAAAATGTTGGGGCGCCTGGGTGGCGCAGTCGGTTAAGCGTCCGACTTCAGCCAGGTCACGATCTCGCGGTCCGTGAGTTCGAGCCCCGCGTCGGGCTCTGGGCTGATGGCTCAGAGCCTGGAGCCTGTTTCCGATTCTGTGTCTCCCTCTCTCTCTCTGCCCCTCGCCCGTTCATGCTCTGTCTCTCTCTGTCCCAAAAATAAATAAACGTTGAAAAAAAAAAATAAATAAAAATGGAAAATGTTGAGAATCCAATATGGGTTTTTTCCTCTTTCCCCCTGAAAACTCAGTTTCAGCTTCAACCTCTCTCTAACATGAGTTATACCAGGAAAGGAGGTGTCTCTATTAGACAAAGGGGGAAGATAAAAAGATCTTTGCGGTATATGCTGTCCATTGGAAAGGAGCTACTGTTTCTTTTTTTTTTTTTTTTTTCTGGAGCTTTATTGGCTAAATAAATATTCATGGAGTACCTCCTGTGTTCCTGGAGGTCTGGAAATGCAGAGAAGGGTATGATCTGATCCTTGCCTTTAAGAATTTCACAACTTTGGGGCGCCTGGGTGGCGCAGTCGGTTAAGCGTCCGACTTCAGCCAGGTCACGATCTCGCGGTCCGTGAGTTCGAGCCCTGCGTCGGGCTCTGGGCTGATGGCTCAGAGCCTGGAGCCTGCTTCCGATTCTGTGTCTCCCTCTCTCTCTGCCCCTCCCCCGTTCATGCTCTGTCTCTCTCTGTCCCAAAAATAAATAAAACGTTGAAAAAAAAATTTTAAAGAATTTCACAACTTAGTGGAAATCACAGATGCATAAATAACTGACTGTAGGTCAACCTGTGTTATTGTGGAACAGGAGAATAGAGGAAGGAGAGAAATTAATTCTCTTCAAGAGGCAGATTTCTAAAAGGTGACATTGGAGCTCAGTTTTGAAAAATGAATAGGATGTTGAAAAGCAGATCAGGATGGGAATAGATGGAGAACTGGGAATCCAATGTGTTGTCTGTTTTCCAATATCTGTTTTTTCCCTTCCCCCACAATGCTAGAATTTTAGCTGGGCTTGTGGCTGCTCAACTAGACTACATTTCCCTACCTCCCACGCAGCTAGGTACAGCCATATGATTAAATTCTGGCCAAATGGGATTATTAGCACTCCAAATCTTGCTCCTAATGAACGCCTAGATATATATGTCTACATATAGATTACCAAAGACCATCACCAATTAATAAGCTGTTGCCTTTTATCTGACATCCTAAAGATGGAAGACAGAGGGGATATAGCTCTCAAGCCAAGGATGTGGTGTTAGCCTATAGTCTCCAATGGAAGAAACACATTTGCTCTTACAAAACCAGGTAATATATAGAGATAGCCAGGCAGAACTTCCCTGAATAATAAGTAGATTCAAGAGAAAATGAAGTGCCATGCTCTCCTACCTCAGGGTCTCCATGGATTCTGTACCCTCCAACTGGATCTCTTCCTAATTTCTACCTTCTCTGTAGATCTCAGCTTAAACATTTCTTCTTGTAGGAAGTTTCATCTGACCTCCCCAGAAAAGTTAAATCCACCAGGTACCTGCTCTCAGTGCACTTTGCATTTCTCTTTGGAAATATTATGTCTGTTATTCATCACTATGTCAAACATTAATTATTGATTTTCTTGATAGCTCCATGAGATAAGAACAGTATTTTTCATATTTTAACACTGGATCCTTAGCCCCTAGCACTCTTCACAAATAATTTTGGAAGGGAAAAAGTAAGAAGGGAAGGTAGGAATGGGGGAGAAAGAAAAGAAGGAAGGAACAATTGAACAGATGAACTCACTTGTGTCACCATAAAAAGCAGACCAACATCTCAAGGAAAAGCTTCTCAAATACAGGAAGAAAGACAACAGGAGAGAATGAGCCTGTTGCTGCATACATCAGACCTTACCAGCTCCTCAGGCAAGGGCTCTGGCCACTCAAGCCAGCTACTAGGGGTGCCATTATTTAGACTATGACATCTAATAAGCCTGCATGGCTCCCTGAAGCCATTTCAATTGGTCTATTATGCTCTTTGTCATTTAAGCCTCTTCTTCCTTCTTGATCTCCTGGACAACAGGTTTTCTTCCTACATGAATAGCTTAGTTGCCTACTCAGGAGACTGTGCATATGAGAGAATTGTGTGTGAGAGAAACTCACCAACAGTAAGCACAGCTTAACAGGGTGATAAACTTTGGGGAATTCCCTTGGCTTTTCTGAGTCTTAAAAGGGACTGGTTATAAATATTAAAATAAAACAAAAAGGACATCTGAGGTTTCAGCAAAGGGCTCTAGATGAGAGTCTGCATGAGAGACGGGGAGGTCTGTACAAGAAGCCCCCACTTCCTGGCATAGAGTTCTTGTTCACAGCTTCAAGGTGTTCAGTACCTAACTGTAACCAGCCCCAGGTACAATGATGGTCCTTTAAAACTGGAGCCTGGTCATAGACTAGAAGCCTTGGCTCCCAGCTCTAACTTAGCAAATTTGAGACAGGAGGACATTGAAAGATAACAAATAAGACTCTTGGGGCACCTGGGTGGCCCAGTTGGTTAAACATCCAACTTTGGTTCAGGTCATGATCTCACGGTTCATGGGTTCAAGCCCTGCATTGGACTATGTGCTGACAGCTCAGAGCCTGGAATCTGCTTGGGATTCTCTGTCTCTCCCTCTCTCTCTCTCTCTGCCCATCCCCTGCTCATGCCCTGTCTCTCTCAAAAATAAATATCTAAAAAAAATTTTTTTAAAGTAAGACTCTTACTCCAAACTTTGAAAAGCAAAGGGGAAAATTGTTAATTTTTTAAAAAAAATATTTTATTTATTTATTTTTTTAAAGTAGTGTCCACACCCAACATGGGGCTCGAGCTCACACCCCCAAGATCAAGAGTTGCATGTTCTACAATCTGAGCCAGCCAGGTGCCTCCAAAACTGTTTAATTTTTGATTTGGATTTTTGATGCTAAGTATACTAGGAAAAGCCACACTGAGGGGGCAAGGCCCCCTCTCCCTGTCACGGGGAAGTGGTCTTATATAAGTTCATATTAAATTCATCACATAAAAGATAGCTGAACCATACAATAAGCTTAATATACTTCCATACACATGCATCATACTAGTGGAGAGGGCCTTTCTCCCCCCTGTCTCAATTCCCTCCTTTGAACAGATGAGCCAAGTCTACGGCCATACCACCCTGAACGCGCCCGATCTCGTCTGAACAGATGAGCCATGAGGAGCAAATAATATCCTGGATCATGAATGAGAATGTTTCCTAAATTGTCTTTATTTTAAGCATGGAACTGTAGGGGACAAATAGTCATATTGTATTTGTATTTACACATGTATTTGTTTATAAATAATGCCACTTGCTTACACTTCACTTTACTCGTGAATGAAATGAAATGTCTCCCCACGAAACCTCATAGCTTATTCAACCCAAGACTTTGAGTCCAAAAATAATCACATGTATACATAACACTTTTGTTTCTACACATTAGTAGATAAATGCATATTAGCACTACCAGTAGTAGTTGTGGTACCATCATTATCATCCTCAAACTTTTTTCTTTTTCACTGTGTGGTTGACAGTCTTATCTGGTTTCTTCCCCACTCCCACCTTGGAATTAAAGCCTTCTGATAAGATTACTATCTTTTATCTTTTCTACCACATTCTCCTGGATTCAAAAAAGCAGGGGAGGAAACTGAGGACAAAGCTTTTGAAATACTTTGCTTGCTTTCCACTGAGGCAGCCCAAGTATATACCATGTTAAGTAGTTTACTGTTTGATGCTCAGTCCCACAAGTAAGTCCCTCTAGGGCAATATTTCAAAGATTCCACAAATGCCTACCAAATGTACAGCATAGAACCCCATGGTATTTCTTCTGAAAATATCAGCCATTGGCCAATACACATGTACAGGGTATGATTGGCCATACACTGATCCTGACCAAGATCATTTTTGCTGGGGCGCTTGGGTGACTCAGTTGGTTGTCTGACTCTTGATACCAGCTTGGGTCTCGATCTCACTGTTCATGAGATGGAGCCCCACGTTGGGTACTACACTGGCAGCAGAGAGCCTGATTGGAATTTTCTCTCTCCCTCTCTCTCTCTCTCTGCCCCTCCCCCACCCACTTGCACACGTGCTCTCTCCCTCTCTCTCTCAAAATAAATAAATAAACTCTAAAAAAAAAAAAAAAGATCATTTCTGCTAATTTTTTACTGTCACCCTTCCTAAAAGGAGCCCAAGGTATCTCCACCAAATCCTCAATGAGATATGTGTGGGCATCACTACTCTTCCCTCACTGTGTGGTCTTAGATTTATAGTACTTCACTGGTCTGTAAAAGAATCTCAGTAGAACAAATGGGAATGGAAAAGTGGACAAGGAACATTCCCTCTCCTCATCTGGTTGTATACCAAATGGCTTTACCACAGAGCCTATATATGATATCCTCAACACAGTTGGGGCTGTTTCCTTGATCCCTTGGCAAGGAACAGGCACTGTTCCCTGTATGTACAGTCAGCACTTAGGAAATACTGAATACATATGAAAGGAACAAATCTACCTCATTGAAGTGTTCACTTTTCCAGAGCTTATAGAGATGTTGTGACAGCTTAAGCATGATCCACCAGTGTGTGTATACTGTGTGTGTGTGTGTGTGTGTGTGTGTGTGTGTGTGTGTGGTCATTTCAGACCCAGGCTGAAGAAACACTCACCCCACACCTCCCAACACCAAGCGCACCCACAGTCCTTCCTGCCAACCAAGAAGATGCCTCATGATCTTGTTTCCTCTTGGAAAATGCTAAGAAAGAGGAACCAAACCCATGCTTAGAAACATCTGTTTTGGTCTGTTTGACTTGCCATATCCTTCCCTCAATGGAAGGGGCCTCAGAATGCAAAGGGACACACTGGGAAATGAGAAGCATGGGCAGAGGGAGGAAATGCTGAGCAGCGACCCAGTAGCTTACCGGCCAGAGAGTAGCAGGGACAAGCGGTTGATGGGTGTCTCACCCTCCACAGCGTAAGTCTGCTCAGTGGCCAGAGTGAAGACCTGCTCCTCACAGCAGTGAACAATCTCCTTGTACACCTGCAGAGGCACCTGCAAGGGTAGGCACAGCGTCTTGTAGAGGAGATCGAACTCCTCGGGGAGGGTGTTTTTACGCAGGCGGTAGACCAGGTGTGCCAGCTGGAACAGGCAGGCCGTTGCCAGCAGGAAGCTCCAGAGGATGATGTCCAGGCCGCAGGCATCAAACCAGCCCCACATCACGCAGCACACATAGCCTGTGCCCAGGAAGCCAAAGAGGTAGAAGCATCCATACACCCCACTGCCCCCCATGAAGCCCAGGAGCAAGAAGCAGTTGGCCAGATGGTAGACAGCCCCTTCCAGATCCTGCTTCCAGCCACTGCACACTGGGTCCTGCCAGAGAAGCTGGCGCATTGTGCTGCCGTTAGCACTCATCTTCAGGGCGTCTCAAAGCCTTGCTGGGCTTGAAGACTGTCCTCACATAGGGAATTCAAAAAATGAACTAATCTGTCCTCCCAGAGTCTTCTCAGGTCCGGCTTCTCACCGCCAACTCTGCCTTTCCTGAGAGGAATGCTTCCAGTAGCCTTGGGAATAAATGGCAGAACATAGTATACTTCATGGAGAATTTTAAAACTTTTTTCCCTCTCGTTTTCCTTCAGCAAGGTTCTGGCCTTCTTTGCAGAGCTCTGGCAATATTCCTGGGCTCTAGGTTTCTTAGAGCAGACTTCACATTTGGCTCTTAGCAGAAAAATCTAAATTGTCCCGAGGTAAAGATAGGACTATGGGATCGAAAACTTTAGCGGTGAGGGATAAAGTGGCCACATCCTGCTCTCTGTTGTCCCTAGTCAGAATGAGGAGAGCCCAGCACGGGAGGCACACTTGTGTTCCATTTGGAATGCGTCTCTCTTGGCACCGGAAGAAAGGGTGACCCCAGATGGATACCATGTTTGGAATTGGAATCCAAGAGGTACTGGCAGTGAGAAAAAACAGGCCAGGCACACAGGCAGGCTGGCAGAGCACTTAACATATCTCCCCAGAGGACAAGACCTCTGGGCAAGTGAGGCAGGCTGGGGAGAACAAAGGAAAAGTGAGCAGAGAATTTACCACAGTACCGGCAGGCAGGCCGGGTACTGCTCAGAGCTCCGGTGGGGAGGGCTAGGGGCTCTCCTGAGCTGGGAGGGCATAGCCAAGTAGGAAAGTAGGGGACTATTATAAGAAAAAATCCTAACAGTGAGAACTGGAAAACCCCTCAGAAGTCTTTATTAAGTCACATTATAAACATCTCTAGGCATTTATTTGACACCCATTAAACAAAAATGGCTACGCAAAGCAGTTCTTTGAATTCTAAACTGACTTTCTCCTGCATATATCTGGATTTAGGCATAGTTAATACAATGGTACTACAGTGCTCAGATCATCACCCTACCCATTATTTGCAAATTATAATAACTACCACCCATTAAACGGCCTACCCGGTGCTGGACCTCAATTAGGTACTTTACATAGATACTATTTAGTCATCATACAACCCCTCCAAATAAATATTATCTTCCTTCCAGATCTAAAAAAAACTGAGGCTCACCTAAGTAACAAGTTCCCATAGGCAGTAAGTGGTCCAGCCAGGATCTGATCCCAAGTCAGACTCAGCGCTGTGCGCCAAGCAGTTTGCACAGCAAGTAGAAATAGACAGATCCATGACTCCCAATCCCACATGCACCCTCCCCCACCCGCCAGAAGTCTGATGACATCCAAGGAACTTCTGGATGAACCTGGGGTCTATTTTGGGTCCCCAAAAAATAAATCTGGAGTATGCAAATATTAAGACATGTCCCTCTGGCTTCCAAATGACTCCTTGATTTTTTCCCTTGCTGCTACTTAGTATTTATTATCATTCTATTGCCCTTGAGACACTTTGGGGGGGGGGGGGTGTGGTACCCAGTAACTTTCCAAAACTACTTGAGTACTCAATCCCCAGGGACTTTTATTATACCGCTGATAACCAAACCAAAATTAGTGAGAAATTAGAAATTGTCAAATATGCTGAGGAGTGGAACTTTTTAGCTCAACAAATATTTACTGGGCGCCTGCTATGAGCCAAGCACTCAGAGAATCAGATTCCTAAGAGCTTTCACTCAATCAAGAGAAAGACACTTGAAAAAACAACGGCAATTCAGTGTTGGGCACAATAACTGAGTTAAGTTTAAAGAGAGGTGGCTGCCTAGAAGGAAACATTGGGTACAGGAAAGAATACATACGAGCTAATGCTGGGTTTGAGGCACAGGCATTGAATTAACCAGGTAGGTAGAGGGAGAAGAGCATCTCTAGTGGTCAGAACAGCAGAGGTAGAGCCGTGGAGTTGTGAAAATGCATGGCATGTTAAAGGAAGCCCGTTTTTCTTTTTTCTTTTTTTTTTTTTTTAATTAAAATCGCTTGACCAACAAATGTGTACCTTACTCCCTTCTTTCTAAAGTTGAGGGGGGGAAATCAGTGGTAAAGGAAAAGAGCTAGAGAGTGCCTGGAGAAGGAAAGGCCCTGCCCCAGTCCTCTTCTCAGCGATGACTTGGATGTCATTTGAGCAGCAGAGTGTGGGGATTTCCATACGCTGCTTTTATGTCACCTGCCTGCCTCCCAACCAACCACTGACTTCGGCAAGCAGCAGCTGCTCATCCCTCCACCTTAGTCACGCACCCAGAGCTGCCAGGGCCGCCGTCCCTGCCAGCTATGAGCCAGGAAATCAGAAGCAGGAAAGAAGAAGCAACCAGGGCCCTGCCCAAGATAACATTTCAAAGCAGGTCGTCTTTCTCGGCATGCCTGACCGACGGGCTGGCCTGACCCTTTAAAGAGACAGACGGACCCACTGACTGTTATTCTCAGCCTGCCTTGTCAGTCCACATACGTGCTCATCTGAGCAGAGGATGCTACCATCTATCAAGCAGTCATTGTTTCCTCATGTCATGCCGTGACACCTTTCTTTTTTAAATGGAAGAAACAAACTCCGAGAGGTTAAGGAAGGTCAAAGAGCTAGCATGTCAACTACAGGGCAGGTCATTTGAGTTGTATGTTCTCTGTGTTGTCCCACCTTGCCAAGTACGTTTGGGAATTTATATGCTATGGGGGATTTTAGCATGCTGCTGGTGGTGTGGCCTCACTGGTACATAAGCCCCAGAGGCTGTCACGATAGTGATATTGTTGCCTGAAGGACGGAACCTATGATGGGAATACGACAATGCAAAGTTGTGTCTTGTTTGTTTTTAAATCCAGATGACTGAAGAGGGAAAACATTTTGTGTCAAAATGGTATGTTCTTATAAGGAAATCCATAAATATGCGGGTGGAAGCACAGAAGAAAATATTGGGGGAGAATAAAAGGAAACAAACAGAAGTCACATCATTTACGGTATTGATTCAATCCCATAAGCATTTATTTAGGGCAAAGTATGTACACCAAGCACAGGGGATATAAAGATGAGCAAGACAATTGTCACCTTCAGGGAACTTTTGGTATGATGAGGAAGAGTGACCCAGAAATAACTGCAATCCAATAAAATAAGTGTATTTGGGGTTCAAAGGAAACCCAAAGGATTGGGGAGAAAGGATTCAGAAAAAACATCACAGGGAAGGTGACATTTAAGCTGGTCTAAAAAGATGACTAGGTGTTCCCCAACTAGGGGAGGGCATTCCGGGAAGGGAGAACAGAATGTGAAGTCAAGTCCAGAAGTAAAACAAAAATACACGGCATATTCTGGTAACAGAGTATAGCCTGCTTTAGGTGAATCAAAAGGAACAGCAGGACACGAGGTGGGAGAGGCAGGCTGGGGCCAGATTATGAAGTCAGCTGGCTAAACTGTCCCTCCCAGTGTGGCAGTGAACCATGGCTGGTGTGTGAACGGTTACTGTCCCATGATGACATAAGGGAAGAAACAGAGAGAATTTAGACATTTTTATAGCAATTTGACAGAGAAAATGGCCATTAAATTCAATAAAAACTTCGGGCTTGCATAATGTATGGGTTTTTTAAGTGTATTACCACCCGCCTCCATCTCCTTAGTAGTGGTTGTTAATTGGAAAATATTAAACCACATACACTTTGAAAAACACTGAGCTTGAAATTAACATTTTCCTAATATATATTAAAACAGAACACAGGCATGATGTAGGCTTTAGACACACACTGCCAACGCGACCTTGGGCAGACACCACTGATTGTCTATCCGATAGCCATTCCCCATTTTTCCTTAGTTTATGGAACTGTGATCTTGCTTGGGCAATATGTTAAAGAAAGGTGGGCTTCTCCCCCACTTGCCAGGGCTTGAAATAAGGCTGGTCAAAGCCAAGGACGATATCCCATTCCCCTTGATGGCAACTGGTTTACGTGTAGGCGTGTGACAAATGGGATATAAAAGGAAGAGCATGTAGGAGCTTCTGCGGGAAAAGTATACTTCCTGACAGACAGTAAGAAGTCCTGCTACCTTTTATCCTGGCTTGAATATACTTGTGCAGTGATGTAATGCTTGGAGCTACCATGAGATATGATAGCCATGAGATATGATATACTTAAGGATGAGGATAAAGAGCTGAAAGAGAGAATAAACCAGTTCTCAAAAGTATGACTGAGCCACTATCTCAAATCTGGAACTTTCAACCTCCAGACTTCATGACAGGAAGTAAACTGCACTTACTGCTTAAGCGCTTAGTTAGGTGTTTTGGTACCTGCAGTTGAATGCTTTTAGATTCAGATCTCCCTTAAGATCTCCATAAGGACTACTCTTCAGGAAAGTTCTCTGAACATCTGCTGATTGTTTTATTCTATGAAAACTGAACATTACACAACTTATTGTGTTCTACTAATACTTTTCTGTCAAAAATTTGAGTAAACTATGAGAGGAAATGCTCCTTCAAACTCAATTTGACCATTCAGAATGACTCGGTTAAGTGAACAAGATGGTTTAGTGGAAAATTGGTTGCCTACTCAAAATCCACTTATCACTTCCTCCTTGTTACAGAATTCCAGTTTTGTGCTGATATCTAATTATTATATATGAATCCATGGGCGGGAGTGGGGCAGGGATCCCGTTTAAGTCGATCAGCATAAGGCATTCTGTTGGCAACTATTATTAGTCTATAAAAATGCACATAACCTAATTTGGCTCAGACTTTAAAAAAAAAAAAAATCATGCCTTGGGAATGGCTTCTTTCTTCTGCTGGACTTGAATAAGAAAGCACATGATTTCATCAGTCCTGGAAGCTCTGAGATGAAAATACTTGAGTCTTGGATGGTATCATTGAACCTATGATATTGTTTCATCTAGAGCTTGTCCTAACTCTGGACTTCTAGTCATATGAGTTTCCCTTGATGAGGATTTTCTATTACTTGATTTCAAAATCACCATGATGCACACAGATGGAACTACCAGCTAGCTAGTTTTTGATACCTAAAGAAACCCTGGGTAGTCACACATGCACTCTTTTTAGGAAAGCTTCTTGGAATAGTCATCATAGTACTATTTAACTTTACATATTTGTAGTTTATATACATGTATCTACTAGATTATAACTCTTTGACAGTGGGGACCATGTCTTACTAACCTTTGTTCATTATTTAGCACATAGTTAGCATATTATTATGTCCTCAATAAATGTCGAGTCAAATAGCCTCTCATCTCCTTGAGGACAAGATGTATGTCTGATTCACACATGAGTATTCAATATCTAGGGCAGTTCCCTATATATAATACAATTTCACTAAATATGTACTGAATGAATAAATGAATTTATAACTATGAATAGGTTTATATTAGTTGGTACAGGAGAGAACATTGGGCTTGACCTCTACTCACCAAGACTCACATCCCAGGTCGCCAGCTGTTTGACCACAGCAATTTCCTTAAACTGAGTACCTCACTCACTCACTTGTAAAATTTTTCTAACAGCCTTACATCACACCAATGAAAGGTATAGTTATCCTAAGGTAAGCCCTGCTTAGGGTCATAGTCCCATTCTCATCAACCTTCCAGTCAAATGTTAAGGTTAGAAAAAAAGAAATGATTAGAAAGAATGGTGTGACTGTGTCTGTATTAAGAGTTTGGGAATTGGGGCGCCTGGGTGGCGCAGTCGGTTAAGCGTCCGACTTCAGCCAGGTCACGATCTCGCACTCCGTGAGTTCGAGCCCCGCGTCGGGCTCTGGGCTGATGGCTCAGAGCCTGGAGCCTGTTTCCGA